TCCCAGTAATATCCATCAACGGTGCCAAGTCACTAGTACCGATTCCTTACACAAAGAGTCGACTGCACAATACTCCGGCACCTCTGAGGGCTCCGAGATATACATCAAGATGGGCCCCTATCTGTGCATAAGACCCTCACCCCAGAATCCCGACTATGTTCGCTTATCCCAGTGAATAGGTGATGTTGGAAATGGCGAGATGCTGCTCGGCATGCTCGCACTTTCTCCTACCCCCACTACCCCGCCTCCCGTTCCCTTCTTCCCTCCTTCCCTCTTCCCGCTGCTCGTTCGTTCGCTCGTTCGCTCGTGGGGCGGTTTGTCTCTTTGCGCGCTAGTTAGTTTCCTTTCTGTTAGTTTTTTTGGGAGCGCACTCTGGCTTTCTGGGAAAGCGCTTCGGCGATGGGAGCATGCAGAGGATCGGAAGGAAGGTGCGGGAGGAAGGTGCGGGAGGAAAGCGTCGGCGGAAGGAACGAAGGAAGACTTGAGAGAAGCCCGGGAGTTTGTCTTTCTTTTGTTAGTAGTTTGATTGTGAGAGGGAAAGGAAGAGAGAGACACTTACCGGAAGCGTGGAGGCTATTGGTGGAGGCTACCGGCGTGGATGTTTGTCTGTTCTTTTGTTAGTACGGGAGTCTCAGCGAAGGAATGGGGGAAGGCCGCAGGGAGAGCGGAAAGGTCGTGAGGAGGACGGACAGGCGCAGAGGAATATGGAAGACCGGAGAGCGATGTCCGGAAACTATGGGTGATGAAGTTTGTCTTTCCTTTTTTTGTTGGTTTGTGTCTGCCTGCTAGTGAGTGGGAGAACCTACCTGGGGACCGGAGGACTGGGTTTGCGGTTTGCTGTTCGTGGTTTATCATTTGTCTCTCCTGGTTGATATATACTCCTGTCCCTACCGTTAGTTAGTTAGTAGAGCGTGCGATAGAGTGAGTGTGAGTGGTGTGTGAATGGGAGTGTGTTTGGAGAGGTGAAGAGTTTTCAAGTTCCCCGCTTTTGTGTTGTGAGTAAGCGCTTGGTGTTTCAGTGTTTCACAGACTATCACTCGTTCGTTTCAGGGCGGCCGGCGATTGCAAAAGTTCGAAAAGGCGAATGGTCCGGCCGCACCCTGCTATCCCGGATCCCGTTGAACCGATAGAATGTTTTGCTCCTCCGGTTCCTAACACAAATAGCCCCGTTGAACCGGAAAAGGGTGCTTTCGGATTCGTATGAGATTTTAGGAAATCCTACCCCCTGCTTCTATAGAAAATCAACCTGCTAAACTGCATGCTATGATTATGGTTAGAACAGCTAGACCAAGAGAGGAAAAAAGAATGGGCCAAATATAAAGTAGGAAAGCAAAATGGGAGAGGTATTGCAGGCTCATAGTTGAACCGGAGCATGGAGGAAAAGTACTCGAGTACAGTACTTTAGATCCCTACTACCGATACACAAATCATAGAAATTAGAGTGATGTATTCGAGTAGGTCCGCGAAAGAGCGTGTTACGTGATAATCTACATAGTAGCTGCAAGCTTGGCCGCCGGCTGTGGTGATACTGCCCATGTATAATGATCAAGATAAAGTTTCCTGTGATAGACTCAATTTATCCCAATTCACATTTATCCCTCTTCAGATAGCATGAACTCCTCTCCCTGTCGTTCCGAATACCTTGTTGTCCGTGATGAAATCCACAAAATTTTCGCCATCCTGGATAGTGGGGTGGGACGGTATTTCCGTTTCCCCCAAGACTCTGCTCCAGCACCTCCCTTTCGGCGAGGAACATTGTGGACAGGGATGTACTTCTTGTAGGGATGTATCACACTTTAAGTCACTATCAGTACATTACTGGTACCGTAGAATATTCTTACCGAGAAGGCGCGGAAACCGTGCTATGTATATAAAGTGGCCGGTGTGACCGATACTAGGTAATTTGGAGGAGTGGACTAACTTAGGGCTTTGACTTTCTCCGTTTGATGATTATTTTTCCTCTTCTGTTTGTGCTCTCTACGCGGGCAAGATACTTGACATTTGTATTTTTTTATCTTATCTCAATTGGATGGCTTTCTGTGGGTGTTCTTTAATGTTCTTTTGTCACTTTCGCCCGCTTGAATGACGCCTCAACGCTTACAGCTAAAATGTTCTCGCTCCTCAATAACAAAGCCTCTCTTACAAGTCGGGCTACTCTGGTCTTCTATTAGGCCAATTCGCCTTCCAACAGGCCCGCACTACACAAAATTACTAGACAAGAGATGCTAACTATGCCTCACCCTGATTCCGCTCTCTTTGTTTCAAAAACAGCGGTCTATAAAGTTGACGCCCCCTAAACCTTCCTGCGACTCCACTGATGCTTGCCCTCGGGTGTCCTCCTCTTCTCATCGTAAAGTTCTTTGGCCAACTGCTTGTATAAAAAGGTTGAGGCCCCATTATGATTAAAGTTATGATCCGAGTCAGTGAACCATTGCACTCGCATCTTCTCAGGACTCACGCCCTCGGAAACCAGCGTGTCGACAAGAACCGCCGGGTTCTGGAAATGCACATTGTTGTCAGCGGTCCCATGCTGGATGAGGAAGCCTCCCGCAACGTTCTTGAATCCCGATGTCTTTGCTATGGCGGAGGCATTGTAACCTGCCCTGTTGGCGGTTAGGGATTTCATGTAGCGTTCGGTGTAGATGCTATCATAGAAGCGCCAGTCACTCGATAGAGCGGTCATCTATCCTGTTTTAGCGGCCTGGCCGGGAGTGGGGTAGGAGAAGTGATGGAGGGACATACAATGCCTAAAGAGAATGCTCCGGAATCCAATTCGAGAACTTTACCAGTGAGGTATCCGCCGTAACTCCCCCCCCAAATAGAAATCTTCCCGGCATCAACATAGTCTCGTTTCCCGTACTCCTTCGCGGCCCAAACTTGATCTTCCGCCTCCAGCTTTCCCAGCTGACCGACGACCATAGTACGGAATTTCCGCCCCTTATACCCCGTTCCACGATTGTCCACCGTGACAACGATGTACTCCAACTCGGGATCCGATCCCAAGTATGTGCTGAAGTCAACCGTCCGGCGAAAGGTCTTTTCTGTGCGTTGCGAGCCCGGGCCACCATATATATCAAATAGTACCGGATATTTCTTCCCCTTAGTGAAATTTGGCGGTAGACGCTCCAAAACGTTGAGCTCATATCCATCTGGGTGCTTGAGCTTCGACCAGACGATTTTGGGGAGAGAATATGCGGAAAGGTTGGCCTCAAGGGGGGCGTTGTGGTCTATCACCCGGATGGGCATATCGGAGCCTATGCTGCGAAGTACTTGCCATGGCAAGTTTGGTCCGCTATAGCTCAGGGTGTGGTACCCTCCTCCGGGGGAGAAGCTGGCGCCGTAATATCCTTCCTTGGTGATATCTACGAGAGGCTTTTTGGTCTTTCCATCGAGACTCACAGTAAAGATGTGGCGTTCGGTAGAATCACGCTCTGTGGATTGGTAATGGACTAGACCGCGCCTAGAATCGATTGAGTAGACTGCAGTGACTTCCCAGTTGCCAGATGTCAACGCAACCGGCTCGCCACCTGATACTGGGTAAAGGTAAATGTGTGGCCAGCCAGAATGATCTGAGATATCCAAATAGGAAGGAGTAGAAAGCCCTGGGACATCTAACTAAGAGTGTTAGTAGCTCCTTAGCCGACACTAGAGACCCCCGTAAGGAAAACTCACAAGTGATAGCAAGATAATTCTCCAACCACCCATCCGTACCATCCCTCTCCCTCACAACCCGTGCATTACCGCTCTCAACATCAACCAAAACCAACTTTTCCATATCTTGTACCCTGTTCCGCGCGCGGATGATGACACTCTCATGCTTCTCTGCCACCCAGGCAACCTCGGAAATGATCAAGTTATCCGGAGTGTAAGCCTGAACGTTAATCTTTCTCAGGGCAGACGGCTTGTTAACCTCAAGAAGATGAAAGGTAACCGTGGGGTTTTTCTCTCCTGTTTTAGGATACTTGATACGGAGCTCAACGGGGTAAGGTGGGGTAACCTGTTGCCTAGCTATGTAGTATGGTATGGTATATGTTGGTACCTATATTCACCTAGCTTAGTATCAACCCCATTGGGTTTAATAGAAAACATGAATGTAAAGCGCACTTCCGTCTCATTAAACTTCAAGAAAGCAAGATACTCCCCATCCGGTGAAAACCACAATGTGTGCATCGTCCCGAAGATCTCTAACTCCCCACCAAGGAAAACAAAAAAAGGGTAAATCGTTAATTCCATCCTCCCGCAAGAATGATTTAGGGGGAAGAACTACAAACCCTCTTCATAAACCCAACCGGGCACCCCATTAAGCACATTCTCTCCCCCATCATCGGTAACCCTAGCACTCACCCCGTCCTTCCAAATAAACAAATCATTCCCCCGGACATAGGCGATCACATCACCATGAGGACTCCACACTGCATACTGCACATCTCCATTCTGTCTCTCGACAAGGGGAATCAAGGTCTTACCCTCCACGCTCCAAACATAGTAATCGGCGAGATACGAGTGACGGTATTTCTTTGAGTAGTTGGTGCTAAACAGGACGTGCTTTCCGGAGGGCTGGATGGAATAGTTATAGTAGTCTATGCCTAACTCGGCGGCATCGACGAACACGCTACTAGCATTCTTGGCGATATCCCACAGAATTAGGGTCTGCGTCGGGAGGTCCTGTGCCACATATGTCCCGTCTGAGTAATTCCCCGCCGAAATCCATCGCACGCTGCTTTCCGAAGGGCTAAAGTCCCCGGACAATGCATCGGCGAGCGTTGTTAGTTTTTCAGCACCGGCAGAGGTGAGGTCTTCTTCATCCTCTTCCTGCGGTACCGGGGCTGCGTGAGAGATGTACGAAAAGAGCAGAAGGGAGAACAGGAATGTAGTGTAGGGCCTCATTTTTTGTCCCAATTATTAGGTGAAATGCTTAAGAATTGATCCTAAGTCTTCCATATATATATCCAGAGCAATCGCCAACCGCCCAAACTCCCGAAATTGGTTCCATCCTCAAGCTATTTATTCCGCAAATGCCAAGTGCCTTGCGCTGCACTACACAGTGCCTACCAATTATCGATCACCAATCAGCAACTGCTAAAGTAATCCTACAGAAAAAGGGATCTAGTAGTGAGACGAAAGTGCACGTACTATACAATACTCACAATCTGGCCGGAAAGGAATAAATCGGGAGAGTCGACATAAATTTACCAAATGCTTACACTTGGGATTCTTGGTTGCGGTAGTGGATAGCCATACCACACACACGAGTACTCGTAAGGTCGCAACGTTCTCATAAGGACTGCTATTGGGTACTACCAAAGCTCGGTCCTCTTGCTCGGGCCCGGGCTGTATAAAATGTTCAACTCATCCAAAAAATTGCTCCGATACTACGAATAGTACCAGTGGTAGCGTAAGCGAAGGGACGCCAAGACGTGGGCTACTGTAATCATGACAACTACCGAGTAGTATTTTAGCACACCTTCCTTCACTTCAGCACTGCCATGATCTGGCCGTGGGTTGAATCTTAGTCAGGTTTAGCCTAGACTTGTCTTCGGGATATTTTCACATCCTGTCTCAGGGCTCGGTCTGGAAAATTTCCAGCCGCTCAGGCTGAGCCCACAACCGCATGCTTGGCATTTCTCGGCTTCACTGCCACACACACCACAGGCCAGGTCCTGTCTTGGCAGTACTTTCCATCTTAGCATTCCTTGTCAGGGCGACGACCACCACCCCGACCACTCGTGGGTGGCAGGTTCTGAGTGTAAGCGTTTGGTATGGTGCATTGCACTTACGGTGTCCACCCGGCTTCATGCAACTCGCAACGACCGGCAGCCGATCCCGTGAGCATGGCGACCCGTCATCCAATAGATTAACCTACCGAGTTTGATTCGTACCAAGACCCAATACGAAACAGTGCTTCTAGTCAACCCCACCAATCCCCGACCCAACCATCCGCTTTGCAAACCTCGCTCGGCAGAGCTCTAATAAAGTGCGTAAAGCGTGACCACGATGAACACACAGCTCTAGAATACAGGGGACTAAATTAGGCCGTCCTTCAGCTCTTTCCTACCACATACCTAGACGGGAGAACTTCCGATTTCACATCTTTCCTCTACCCTCTTCCTTTCTTCTAGTGGTAGATGAAGGCTATTAATATTCACCGATTCTAACTAGTATTTACCGCGCCAGGGTTGTATAATTGGATCCTCAACTGTCAATGGTCTGGTGGCAAATAACAACCTAACCCATCCATGAACCTTCCTTTCCTCTTCTATCACATTTGCACAAAAAGGTTCTAATCAGAAAGACACCTCACCACCGGTCAGAAAGGACGGGAAAAAAAAACTGTCAACCACAAGCCTGCCCCCCCACTCCCCATTCATAAAAGATCACTTGCGACAGAAACCTCTCCCCCCCTCCTTACCAGCAGACAAGGGATTCCAACCCCCGCCCGGGAAACTGGGATAAAGCAGCGATGGTGTATCGTATGAATGGGGGTGGGAACAAGTACTGCAACACCATTGCCGGTTAAGACGCATCACTTCAATTGCCAGCGCAATCCAACGAGATATTATCAGCCGCGTCAGGGCACAGCATGCCTGATAATCAGGAAGGCTAACAAGACAGCCTTTCAGCCGTTCCGTGCCACGCTATATCCCGGAAATAGAGAACTTCTCGTCACGCTTCTCTCGCTTTCCTCCTCTCCCTTCATTCTGGAGGTGGGGGGCGATGATATTCACTAGTCCAGACTAATAAATTTAATTACTGGACAAGTTGTGTATAAGTAAATTCCCGATTGCTATAGGTGCGGTGTATCAGCCCCTCCCCCTTCTACTTTACCATCCCTCGCACCGGGCATTGGTGTATAGTAACGCACCTCCACCACAAACAGAGAAATAAAAATAATTTAGTTCCCATGCATCAAAAGTCACTCGCCGAGAATGTTGGATTTAGTACGCATCCGCCAAACAGACTAATTTCTATCTAGTTTCTCTTAGTGCTTTCCTCACAACTCTCTTTAACGTTAACCGCCTTTTGAGATTTTCTTCCTCTCTTCTCCGTTTGTCTCGCGGCTTCACAACCAGGCCTTATTCAACTATGGTATTACTTCCCCCTCATCATCCACTGTCCTCCCTAGGTTCTCATATGTTCTCTTCTCCTCCGAGCTCTTTTCGAGTCCTTCCTTTCATCCGAGGTTTTCATATCACCAACCTCGGGTTTCTGATAGTTCCTTTCTTTTGTTTAGTTTTTCGGTTTAGCATGAAAACCAACAGCCGTACATGTGGTAGAAAAAATCAAGCTCCTTTCTCGACAGTAGCCATATCAGTTCACACAGAAGATCTCCCTTGCCAGGGAGCCTCAACTCCTACTCACAGACCAAGATAAGGGGGTGACAAAATTTACTACAGAACCGCTCGTCGAACACTACCCACAAATTATAATACCCTAAATGATGAAACCTAAAGAAAAACACCAAAGGATTAAGCAGTGAAAGTGTAACAAAGATAGGTTCGGGGTGACGAGGGGCATGCAAGGTGGATGAACTAGGAGACCGATGGAGATGCTAGTTAATGACGTACCTGGGAATATATATCTCCAAACTGCTAACAACTGCGGAAAACCAATGAAACTCCACAAGCTTTAATGAAAGACGCCATCCTGATAAATAATGATTTTCCAAGATCCTCCCACAATCTAGAAACTCCCCAAATATCCTACGATCCCCAATAACACCTTAAGCCAACTATGATACTGCATACCTGACGGTATAGGGTGTGAAAGGGACAGAGATCTCACATACCCGATGCCCCATAGCAAAGGGTACCCACAAAACCGAAAATCCATACCCCGCACTAGATAAAACTACTACACTATGCTTACTCACCGTACATCACAAAACCACATACGTTATAACCGCACACCGCGTAACTGTTACACATATGAACACACAGACCTTCCCCGCGCACAGACCTCCTGAAAACCGCGAGAAATCCACGGCCAACACCCCCCTCCGGCCCCACCGTTGGCCCTGCACACAGTAATAGAGTTGCCGGAATTTGGTGTCCCGACAGTATAAACCGGTTGAAACGAAGCATGCTTCATAACACCGTATACGTCGTCGCCGTCCGTCCGACGAAAAGCTGTTCGCAGGATATATAAGAAGGGACCTCAGGCTGTGTCTGAAAAGTGGAATGGAGTCAATCGGACGGGTAACTATGGAGCTACAGGCTAAGTGAGATTGACCATCTCGAACATAAACAGAAAGTGTTGGGACGAAATCACCAACAGTCTAATGAGTTATCGGGACGTGCCCGTATGGACGAGGTATGGGGCCCAGTCTAACGCTCACATAGTATAGAGCCAACCGGAGGCCTATCTATGGTTGAGGGACTTTCCCATGATGTTGACTAGTCCGATCATGGCAAAAAGTCCTCAATGTTGATGCAGTCAAGTTGCGAGGTCAACGATGCATTGATAAGTCTCTTGACGGAGCTGATCACTCCAGTCAGAGTTAGGAGGACGGTGAGTTGGCTCGAAGTGAGACCACTCACTCGTACTTAAACCTCCAAGACGAAGGAATCATGCGTTTTCATCAAAGAGGTTTCGAATGCCCTCGCGGAAACACGACAACGCATGGAGACCATAGTCTGAGCAAGACGCAAAGTTTATCAGGGTCAAACAGATGCCCATTACAATAGTAAGGGTAGGAAATGGGAGAAGGTACATTGTTTAGTATAAGATAGATGTAGCCCGTGACCACTCAGACGCAGAACATAAATATCGAGGTGCCTCCTTAGCTTTCAGAACATCCTCCGTCTCCGCTACACCTCCGGCGATTGAAAACTCAACACCATGGTTACTATCGTGGCTTTCATCGTCTAGCACCACCACCTCCCCCCATCTCCCTCCATCTAGCCTCGGCTACAGGAGGTGGGCTCGCTTCCCCTCTCCCTTGAGGTCCTGATTTATTTCTTGATTCTCTTGGTTCCATCCCTGGTTGAGGTCTTTCATCTTCATGATGTTTCTCCTCTTCCTACCCCGCCTCGCTTAGGCGTTGGCACGGTCGGCAACCCCTTGTCCACCAACAGCAGACGGCCGGGACTACAGTTGCAGTAGGAGAGAACAGCCTTCAGGCTTCGGTCGATCTCTCCATTCTCTTGCTTCCCTAAGAGGCTCCCTAGTCAAACACGAACGCGATCACCGATAGCTGTTGCTCACGGACTTGGGTCTACCCCTCCTCTTCTCTTTGGGGCCTCTTTGGCTGGCAGGTGGTGGGATCCCCTCCACTACAGTGACGCTATCTCTCCCAGAACAAGGGACTACATGAGAGACGCGGTAAAACACCTGCTTCACTTAGGGCTCCTCTCCACGGTTGGATCGGCTGGTACCCTACTACCACCTCCTCTCAAGCTGGCACCTTACTGCTACAATCGTCAAATGTCCCGGAGGACACACGGTCGCTGGCACGCCTGCCACACACCTCCTCTCCTCGCTTCTCGGCCGCCGCCTTCGGGGTGGTTTCCGTTATACCCTTCGCATCCGGGGCTTCGGCTCCCTCCCCCTGGCCCTCGTCATATGGCCATGGGGTTCCTAGGATAGATTTGCGTTGTGATCGTTGGCCCTTAGGGGTTTGGTTTGGGTTACTGCCTTTAGGTGTTTCGTTCTTGGGGTTGGGGCAAGTTCTTGGTTCACTGTCGGGTAGTTAGCTTTCTTTTGTCACTTGGCGGTGGGGGTTCTTGGGTGGAGCAGTTTACGGGCAGGATTTCGGGCGGGAGTAGTTTTTTATACCCCAGAGGGTTTTTTTAGCTCTGTCGTTCGGCCCAGGGCCGGGGAGGAGGGTTTTTTGGTGTCATAGCTAGCGCTCCATATGCCTTTTGTACCTTAAACAGAATTCAAATGAGTCAAACAAAAACAAATCCTTAGCTTTCAGAACTATCAACGAACAGAGAAGAGATCTTATCAATATATTCATTATACTTTGATACCTATTATTATTACGAGCTTTCTTGACCACTCTCCGAGAAACCTTATTGGCCCCAGCTACAATTTGCCTGACTTAGAATTGGCTGCCACCTAACAGTAACCAAGTGCCTGATAGGCAATCCAGCAGTAATACTCGACGCTAATACCCCAGTCACCGCACGCACCCAAAGCCCACGACCCAATCACAGCTATGCAGAAAATGATGAGACGGCAGTGCGAGAAGGAACGGGATTTGTAATATGTATAAAGCGGTAAGTGTGAGTGACACTAGTTGACTGGTAGTGGTGGACTAGGACTTTGTTTGCTTCTCCATTCGTTAATCGCCTAGCGTTCTTCTATTTGTGTTCTCCGTCTGAACACTACGGCGCTTGGTGGGCTCTGTTTTGTCTTCATTGGATGGTTGCGCGTGAGTGTTCTCTCCAGCTTCATTCGTCACAGCATCCCAGCCAAGCGACGCTTGCGATGCTCACAGCTAAAATGGCCTTGTCCTCCGCTACCTGAGACCCCGTTCGGAGAGTCCCGGTGAAAGTAATAGTAATAAAATAATAATATTGTCCCTTGAGCTGTGCGAAATAGTCAAATTCGTATCTTGACACGTTAAGGCCAGACTAGGTAGCAGCTAGCTACTCGCAGTAGGAAACAAGATTTTTTTTTTCCCCCGCACTTTCCAGCGCTCAAATGGCTCAGCGATGAGATCGGCTAGAGTATTCTTATCCAATTGTAGTGTTCAAATCGTTCCAGCGCAGGGTTAGTGTGCCCTGATGCGAATTTAACGCTATCAGACCACCCAGGTGATAGTACGAGTGTTGCCGATAAGCGATAGAACGGCATCGTTTTGGTTATCATAGTTCACCTGACGGATATATCAACCGGTAGCACCCGTATTCCCTGAATATGTCTTATAAGTTAGAATATAATACTATTATTTCTGAAAAGGAGGTCGGCAGACACAGGATTTTATCATATAATATACTGCAGTAGTTTTTTCTCAAACAAATCTTGTCGGATTTTTTTGACTTCAATTTTTATCATCAATGCACCGTACCTACTGGAATAATTGCACCTCGCGTGAGAGCATTGGAGTTGCCCTTGCCGGTAAGGTGCAGTACTTATTTTAGTCCCGATCTGGGTCAGTTTCCGTGGTGTTTTGGCACCCCCATCCGAGCGAGGGAATTTAGTACGTCCTAACGAGAGATTCAATTATTTCAGTAAATCAAAGTACCGGCATGAGACCCTAGATCAATAAATATCACACTACTCCTTTATGTCACATTATGATAACAACATCAGATATTTCTCTCTTTCTCCAACTGTCACATACCGTACTAGCTTGAATAGGAGAACGATGTGCTAAATTATGGAATCGAGAATTTCCAACTTTAGGAGGGGGCGGAAAACACCGTAATGAGAGACCAAAGAACAAAAAAAGCCAGACCTTACTAGAGAGGGTAACTCCAACGACATAACACACCTCTTATTCAAGTTAATACGGTAATGTTTTCCATATTGTAAACTCCGATATGACAAAATAAAATAAACCACTAGTAAGGTGTTTTTTTTCTTCATTTTTCTTGTTACCCTACATCCTCCGACATCTTGGAAAAAACCCTGTGGTACCATATGATATGTGGCCTGCAGAAAGCAGCCAATTAAAATAAAATCACTCTCCACGAATTCTCTCCACATAACCAGCGCTACCTAACTGCACTTGGCACGAGATCCTAACTTGGGCTATTGTAAAACAAGGGTCTATAACATTGACCCCCACTCAACCCTCCTGCGACTCCACTGATGCTTGCCCTCGGGTGTCCTCCTCTTCTCATCGTAAAGCGCTTTGGCCAACTGCTTCTGTAAAAAGCTCCAGGCCCCATTATAAACAATGTTATGATCCGAGTCAGTGAACCATTGCACTCGCATCTTCTCAGGACTCACGCCCTCGTAAACCAGTGTGTCGGCAAGAACAACTGAGTGCTGGAAATGCACATTGTCGTCAGCGGTCCCGTGATGGATGAGGAAGCCTCCCGCAACATTCTTGAACCCCGATGTCTTGGATATCGCAGAGGCATTGTAGCCCGCCCTGTTGGTGGTTGGGGATTTCATGTAGCGCTCAGTGTAGATGCTATCATAGAAGCGCCAGTCTGTTACTGGAGCCGTCATCTATTCTGCTTTAGCGGCTAGGTCGGGGGCGGGGGAAGTAGAGGAATTGGGGAAAGGACTTACAATGCCTAAAGAGAACGCTCCGGAATCCAATTCGAGAACTTTGCCAGTGAGGTATCCACCGTAACTCCCCCCCCAAATAGCAATCTTCTCCGCATCAACATAGTCTCGTTTTCCGTACTCCTGAGCAGCCCACACTTGATCTTCCGCCTCTAACTTTCCTAGCTGACCGGCGACCATGGTACGGAATTTCCGCCCCTTATACCCCGTTCCACGATTGTCCACCGTGACAACGATGTACTCCAACTCGGGATCCGATCCCAAGTATGCGTTAAAGTCAACCGTCCGGCGAAAGGTCTTTTCTGTGCGTTGCGAGCCTGGGCCACCATATATATCAAATAGTACCGGGTATTTCTTCCCCTTACGAAAATTTGGCGGTAGGTGCTCCAAAAAGTTGAGCTCATATCCACCTGGGTGCTTGAGCGTCGACCAAGAGATTTTGGGGAGAGAATATGCAGAAAGGTTGCCTTTGAGGGAGGCGTTGTCGTTTATCACCCGGATGGGCGTATCGGAGCCTAAGCTACGAAGTACTTGCCATGGTAGGTTTGGTCCATTATAGCTCAGGATATAGTACCCTCCTCCGGGGGAGAAGCTGGCACTGTAATATCCTTCCTTGGAGATATCTACGAGAGGCCTTTTGGTCTTTCCATCGAGACTCACAGTAAAGATGTGGCGTTCTGTAGAATCACGCTCGGTGGATTGGTAATGGATCAGACCGCGCTTAACGTCGATTGAGTAAATCGCAGTGACTTCCCAGTTCCCAGATGTCAATGCAATCGGTTCACCACCAGTCACTGGGTAAAGGTAAATATGCCGCCAGCCAGAATGATCAGAGATATCCACGTAGGCAGGAGTAGAAAGTCCTGCGATATCTATCCAAAGTAATTAGCAACTCCCCAGCCGACATTAAACATCCCGGAACGGAAGACTCGCAAGTAATAGCAAAATAATTCTCCAACCACCCATCCGTACCATCCCTCTGCCTCACAATCCGTGAATTCCCGCTCTCAACCTCAATCAAGACCAACTTTTCCGTATCTTGTACCCTATTCTGCGTGCGGAGGATGACACGCTCGTGTTTCTCCGCGACCCAGGCAACCTCGGTGATAATTAAATTATCCGGAGCATATGTCTGAAGGTCAATCTTCCTCGGGGCAGATGGGTTGTTGACCTCGAGTAGATGGAAAGTAACCGTGGATATTTTCTCCCCCGCTTTAGAATACCCTATAGGGAGCTCAACAGGGTAATTTGGGGCAACCGGTTGTCCTGCCGTGTAGTACGGCACGGTATATGTTGGCACCTAGATTCACCCAGCTTAGTATCATACTAATAACCCGCATGGATTTAGTAGAGTGTGGAGGTAAAGCATACTTCCGTCTCATTAAATTTCAGGAAAGCAAGATACTGCCCATCTGGTGAGAACCATAAGGCATCCAGTTTCCCGAGGAGATCTAATTCCCCACCCCAGGTGTAAACCATTAGTCCCACCTTCTCGCAAGAATGATTCAGGGGGAAGAACTGCAAACCCTCGTCATAAATCCAACCCGGTACCCCATTAAACACCTTGTCCCCCCCATCATTGGTAACCCTAGTACTCACCCCGTCCTTCCAAATAAACAAATCACCCCCCCGGACATAGGCAATTACATCCCCATGGGGGCCCCACACCGCACCCTGCACATCTGCACTCTGTCCCTCGACAAGGGGAACCAGGGTCTTACCCTCCACGCTCCAAACATAGTAATCTGCGGTGTACGAGTTACGGTATCCTTCTACGGCATTCGAGCTAAACAGGACGTGCTTCCCGGATGGTTGGATGGAATAGTTGTAGTAGGCTATCCCCAACTCAGCGGCGTCGATGAACACGCTACCAGCATTCTTGGTAACATCCCACAGCATTAGGGCCTGCGTCGAGAGGTCCTGTACCACGTATGTCCCGTCGGAGGAATTCCCCTTAGAAATCCATCGCACGCTGCTTTCGGAGAGGCTAAAGCTGGCGGATGTTGAATCGGCGAAGGTCACTAGTCTCCTATCACCCGGAGAGGTGGAGATTCCCTGGCCCTCTTCTTGCGCGATTGGCGCTGCGTGAGAGATGTATGAAAAGCACAGAAAAGAGAACAGGAATGTCGTGTAGAGCCTCATTTTTCCCAATTGATTGCTGAAATGTTCAAGAATTGATCTCGAGCTCTTTATATGAGATATATCCAGCTCACCCGCCAATGGTACGATCGCCCAAAATAGGTTCCATCCTCCAGCTGCCTCCCCTACCCAAGCGCCAGATGCTCTATGCTGTCTACTAATTCACGGCCACTAACTAGCAACTGCTAAGGTAACTAATCTCTATAGAAAGAAGGGTCTTGTAGTGACACAAAAGTGCAGGTATTACACTATACTCGCAATCAGAGCGATAGCGATAAATCGGGAATGGCGAAATATCAGACACTTACACCCGGAATTTTCAGCTGCAATAATGGAAAATCCTGTTATGCAAACGAGTACTCGAAATTTTGAAGCGTTCTTAAAAGGACTGCTATCGCACACCACCAAAGCTTGGTCCTTTTGCTTGGATCTGGGTGGTATGCAATATCGGTTCTTTTTTAAAAAAACGCTTTGAGACTACGAGCACTGTACTTCGTACAGCGGTAGGCGGCGTAAGCGAGGTGAAGCCAAGACGTGGGCTGTTGTAAGAATGACAGCTATTATACCGAGCGCTATTTTAGCACACCTTCCTTCACTTCAATACTGCCATGATCAGGAGCAGGTTGAATCTTACTCAGGTTAGCCTAGACTTGTCTTCGGGATATCTTCATATCCAGTCTTAGCGGTTGGTCCGGAAAATTTCCAGCTAGTCAGGTTGAGCCCACAACCGCATGCTTGGCATTTCTCGGCGGGACTTTTGGTTCACTGCCCCATCCACGACAGGGCAGCTCTTGTCTTGGCCGTTATTTCCATCTTGGCATCCCCACGAGGATACCCACCAGCACTATCGTGACCATCCACAAGCGTTAGGTATGGTGCATTGCGCTCGCAAGTGCTGACCCAGATCCATGCAAGATCCAACGACCAGCCAAGTGAGTATGATGAACTACTATACATTACGTACGAGAGTTCGAACGGCACAAGACCTGCTGCGAAACGCCCTTCTGCTCAACCCCACCACATTGCCCCCTACTAATCACCCAAACTAACCTGCCACCTGGCAAGCCCCCACAAGGCCGTAAGGGAGTGCGCGAAACGTGCAGCCGATGTGTGCTCAGTTCTAGAATACAAGTGGTTAAACTAAACAGCCTTTCAGCTATTTCGCCCCGCCTTATATCCCGAAAATAGAGAACTTCTCGTTAGAGTTCTTTTTTCTTCACCCTCTTCCTTCATTTTAGATGGATGCCCAATGATATTCACTAATATTTACCGCACAAATGGTATATAATTGAATTCTCTATTGCTATTGGTGCGGTACACCAACCCTCCCCGCCAATAAACCCCCCTCCCTCTTCTGTTTTACCCTTCCTCGCGTTAGGCATTGGAGGATAGTATCACGCCTCCACCATAAATAAAAAGAGAAACAAAAATAGCACTTCTTGACTTAATTCAGCTCCTATTCATGAAAAATCACTCACGCAGGAAACCCTCCTAGACAGGAAATTACTTACTTCTACCCACGGGTCAGGATTAAGCTGTGAAAGAGAAATCATAATTCACTCGAAGCGGAAAGGGACGTAGAAGGATGATGAATTGTGCGATCGATGGATAAACTAGCTATTAAGATACCGAGGGATATGAGGTTATATCTCCAACCTTTAACAACTCTGGAAACCAAAGAAACCCCATGAACCCCAAATAAACACGCCATCCCGACAAACCACGATCCCCCGCGATCCTCCCACAGTCTAGAAACTCCCCAGATACCCCATGATCCTGAATGACGTCTCAACCAAACTACCGTATGATACGCCCGACTGAATAGGGTGGGAATGAAAGAAAGCAAATCTGTCATACCCGACGCGACATAACAACGGGTATCCAGAAAACCAAAAATCCATACCCCGCCCCCAATAAAACCACTGCCCTATGCTTACTCATTGTATGATACATCGCAAAACCACATTTTTTTCCTTACAACCGCATAGCGCCTAACCACATGTCCGGTGGACAACCTAACAATAACCCGCGATATTAATACCTCCGCCATCACTCACCAGAAGCACCTCAAAAACAGGGCCGGTCCGGCCGCCCTATCCCCTTGATGCAGCAGATGATAGGGCCGCAGTAGAAAAAGGTGCAGAATCCGTGGTATACCTATGATATAAAGTAGTGAATGTGAGTGACACCAAACGACCGAGAGGAATGGACAAGGCCCTTGTTTATCTCTCCATTCGTTAGCTTTCTGGCCTTCTTCTGCCCGCGCTCCCCGTATAGGTGCTAAGGCACCTGGTGAGGTTAGTTTCGTCCCAATTAGATAGCTTCCCGGGAGTGTCCTTTCCACGTCCGTTCGTCACAGCCACCTACCGTATTCCAGCTACGCTAGCGACGCTCACGGCTTAATCGGTCTTGTCCTCCGGGAACTAAGGCCCTTTTCAGGAGGTCCTAGTAATAAATCATAATGATGATGATACTGTCTCTTGGGCGGTCTGAAACAGTCAAATTCGTATCAAGACAAAACTAAAGGCAGATTTTTTAGCAGCTAGCGGCGCTCGACAGGAAGTAGGGATTTTTTAATTTTTCCTCGGACCCTTTAGTGCCCAAATGCCTCAGCGGCAGTGTCAGCTAGAGTATCCTTATCCAATCGCAATGCCCTAATTGTTCTAGCATAGGGTTAATATGCACCGAGACGGATTTGGCGGTACGGTATCGGACATCCAAAGGATAGTACGGTACCCAAGTACTACGTTTCCTGGAACCGGGTTTTAAGCTAAAGTATAATACTATCATTGTGCTCCGGGTGTTTTCTTGGCAGTCCCAGGATTTTACCGCAGCATTCTTTTTCTTTTTTTGTCAAAAAAAACCCCCCTTATCAGATCCTTAAACTTTTAGTTTTATCATCACGATACCGTGTGTACCGGAATGATTGCCCCTCGCGCGAGGACGTTGGAGTTGCCTTTGCCGGTAAAGCGCGGCACTTTTTTACTTTTTCCTTGTTGTGGGGTTGGACGTTTTCCGTGGTGCTTTGGCAGCCCCTGCCTCTATCCAAGAGAGGGGATCTTGGACGGCTAGCGAGCGGTTCGGTTATTACGGTAGATATCGGTATGGTACCTGTACTGTATCCTACTAGTAGATCAGTAAATGTCACGCTACTCTTTTGTCATATGATAATAATATTACAGTTCCTTCTACAGTTAAATTATATATTGTTTTCCATAAACCCCGAGATGACACGATAAATTAAATCACTAGTAAGGTCAGGCGAGCCTTTTTTTTCTTCGATGTTTCTCGGTACCCTACATCTGACATCTTTCGAGTAATAGTGTAGTTTGTGACCTGCCTAAAGCATTCAAAATAAAATAAAATCACTGTTCGCCAATTCTCTCTCCACGTAACCAGCGCTAGCTAACTATACTTGACAAGAGATGTTAACTTCGGCTTTTGTAAAACAGGGGTCTATGGCATTGGCCCCCCCTCAACCCTCCTGCGGCTCCACTGATGATTGCCCTCGGGTGTCCTTCTCTTCTCATGGTGGAGCGCTTTGGCCAATTGTTTATGTAAAAAGCTCGAGGCCCCATCAGAATCAATGTCATGACTTGAGTCAGTGAACCATTGCACTTGCATCTTCTCAGGACTCACGCCCTCGTAAACCAGTGTGTCGACAAGAACAGCTGCGTGCTGGAAATGCACATTATCGTCGCCCGTCCCGTGCTGGATGAGGAAGCCACCAGCAACATTCTTGAATCCAGATGTCTTGGATATCGCAGAGACATTGTAGCCCGCTCGGTTGGCGGTCGGGGATTTCATGTAGCGCTCAGTGTAGATGCTATCATAGAAGCGCCAGTCTGTTACTGGAGCCGTCATCTATTCTGCTTTAGCGGCTAGGTCGGGAGCGGGGGGAGTAGAGGAATTGGGGAAAGGACATACAATGCCTAAAGAGAATGCTCCGGAATCCAATTCGAGAACTTTACCAGTGAGGTATCCGCCAAAGCTCCACCCCCAAATAGCAATCCTCTTGGCATCAACATAGTCTCGTTTTCCGTACTCTCTGGCGGCCCAGACTTGATCTTCCGCCTCTAACTTTCCCAGCTGACCAGCGACCATGGTACGGAATTTCAGCCCCTTATACCCCGTTCCACGATTGTCCACCGTGACGACTATGTACTCCAACTCGGGATCCGAACCCAAGTATGCGCTAAAGTCAACCGTCCGTCGAAAGGTCTTTTCCGTGCGCTGCGAACCTGGGCCACCATATATATCAAATAGTACCGGGTATTTCTTCCCCTTACGGAAGTTCGGCGGCAGACGCTCCATGAGGTTGAGCTCATATCCATCTGGGTGCTTGAGCGTCGACCAAGAGATTTTAGGGAGAGAATATGCGGAAAGGCTGTCCTCGAGGAGGGCGTTGTCGTTTATCACTCGGATGGGCATATCGGAGCCTATGCTGCGAAGTACTTGCCATGGCAAGTTTGGCCCGCTATAGCTCAGGGCGTAGTACCCTCCTTCGGGGGAGAGGCTAGCATCGTAATATCCTTCCTTGGAGATATCTACGAGAGGCCTTTTGGTCTTTCCATCGAGGCTCACGGTAAAGATGTGGCGTTCTTTAGAATCACGCTCCGTGGATTGGTAATAGACCAGACCGCGTTTAACGTCGATTGAGTAAATCGCAGTGACTTCCCAGTTACCAGATGTCAATGCAATCGGTTCACCACCAGATACCGGGTAAAGATAAATATGCGGCCAACCAGAATGATCCGAGATATCCACATAGGAAGGAGTAGAAAGTCCTGGGATATCTATCCAAAGTAATTAGCAACTCCCCAGCCGACATTAAACACCACCCCGGAATAGAAAACTCGCAAGAAATAGCAAAATAATTCTCCAACCATCCATCCTTGTCATCCCTCTCCCTCACAACCTGTGTATTCCCGCTCTGAACATCAATCAAGACCACCTTTTCCGTATCTTGTACCCTATTCCGCGTGCGGAGGATGACGCGCTCATGTTTCTCCGTGACCCAGGCAACGCCGGCGATTAACAAATTATCCGGAGCATATGTCTGAAAGTCAATCTTCCTCGGGGCAGACGGGTTGTTGACCTCGAGCAGATAGAAAGAAACCGTGGAGATTTTCTCCCCCGGTTTAGCATACCCAATATGGATCTCATCAGGGTAATTTGGGGCAACCCGTTTTCCAGTCATGTAGGATGGCACGGTATATGTTGGTACCTACATTCACTTAGTTTAGCACGATGCTGCTAACCCACATGGGCTCAACAGAAACTATGAATGTGAAGCATACTTCCGTCTCATTAAACTTCAAGAAAGCAAGATATTCCCCATCCGGTGAGAACCAGAATGCCTCCATCTGCCCGAGGAGACCTAACTCCCCACCAAAGAAAAGCGTTAAACCATTAATTCCAGCTTCCCACGGGAATTTTTTAGGGGGGGATTACAAACCCCCGTCATATATCCAACCCGGCGCCCCATTAAACACATTCCCCCCACCATCGTTGGTAGCCCTAGTACTCACCCCGTCCTTCCAAATAAACAAATCACCCCCCCGGACATAGGCAATTACATCACCATGGGGGCTCCACATCGCAGACTGCACATCTCCACTCTGTCCCTCGACAAGGGGAACCAAGGTCTTACTCTCCACACTCCAAACATAGTAATCCGCGATATACGAGCCGCGGTATGCTAGGGTGGCGTTCCCGCTAAACAGGACGTGCTTCCCAGAAGGTTGGATGATATACTTCTCGTAGTCTATCCCCAACTCGGTGGCATCGACGAAAACGCTACTAGCATTCTTGGCGATATCCCACAGCATTAGGCTCAGCGTTGAGGAATCCTGCACAACGTATGTCCCGTCGGAGTAATTCCCAGCAGGAATCCATTGCACGATACTTTCCGAGTAGCTAAAGTTCCCGGATAATGCGTCTGCAAGGGTTGTTAATTTTTTGGCACCCGAAGAGGTGAAGGCTCCCTCGTCGTCTTGCGAGACTGGGGCTGCGTGAGAGATGTACGAAAAGAGCAGAAGGGAGAACAGGAATTCGGTGTAGAGCCTCATTTTTGTCTCGATTGATATGTGAAAAAAAATTCTCAAGAATCGATCCCGGTTCTTTATATAAGATATATGTAGCACAGCTTCCAATCTTCTAATCGCCTAAAATAAGTTTCATCCTCCAGCTGACTCCCCCGCCCAAGTGCCAAATCTTCTAGGCCTTCTACTAACCAACGGCCACCAACAAGTAAGTGCAAAGGTAATCCCCACGGAAAAAAGGGTCCTGTAGTGACACAAAAAGGCAGGTATTACACCATACTCGCAATCAGAGGAATAAATCGGGAAAGGCGAAATATCAAACACTTGCACTTAGAATTTTCGGTTGCGATAGTGGACAGCCCTGCCACACACACGAGTACTCGTATCATAACGTCGAAGAGTTCCTAAAGGGACTGCTATTACCCACCGCCAAAGCTTGGTCCTTTTGCTTGCATTTGGGTGGTATGCAATATCAATCCCCTCCCAAAAAAACGCCCCGACACCACGAGTGCTGTACTATAGTACCGGTAGGCGGCGTAAGCAAAGTGGAGGCTAAGACGTGGGCTGTTCTAGACGTGACAACTATCGAGTTCTATTTTAGGACACCTTCCTTCACTTCAACACTTCCATGATCAGCTGAATCTTGCACAGGCCAGCCTGCACTTGTCTTCGAAATAGCTTTACACTCTGCCTAAGCGACGGATATCGAAATTTTCCAGCTGCTCAGGTCGAGGCCAACCTCGTTCCTGGCATTTCTTGGCGGGACTTTTGCTTCACAGCCCCATCCACCACAGCCCAGCTCTTGTCTTGGCCGTTATTTCCATCTTGGCATTCCCCGCGTGGATACTCGCCAGCATTTTCGTAACCACTCACGAGCGTTAGGTATTACTGTACTCGAGTACATTGCGCTCGCAAGTGCCCACCCTGTTCCATGCAAGATACAACGACCAGCCCAGTGGGTATGATGACCCACCATATATTACGTGCGAGGGTCCAAACGGCGCAAGACCTGCTGCGAAAGCGCTCCTACTCAACCCCACCACATTAAACGGTGTGAGTCCTCAGCGAGGCTTGGCGATATTTGGTAGCAATGGCTGCCTGCGGTCAACGGCAGTAGAAAGCCAAGCCGTGCGGCGCCACGCTGCGGGTGTCACCTCGCTCAGGCTCACATGGTCCCCCCTACCAATCACCCAAACTAACCTATCGCCTAGAAACCCCCCACGATGCTGTAAGGAAGTGCTTGAAACGTACTGCCGATGAGTACGCAGCTTTAGAATACAAGTGATCTAACTAAACAGCCTTCCAGCTATTTCGTCCCACCTTATATCCCGAAAATAGAGAACTTCTCGTTACACTTCTTTCTTTTTCACCCTCTTCCTTTATTTTGGAGGGGCGTCCTATGGCATTCACCGACTGATTTTTACGGCACAGGTGGTGTATAATTGAATTCTCAATTGCTATAGGTGTGGCATAACCACATCCCCCCCTCCTATAAACCCCCCTCTCTCTCCCGCTTTACGCTTCCTCGTACCAGGCATCGGGGTATAGCATAATATCCCCACCGCAAACGGAAAAAGGAAAATCATTTATGGTCTATTAATTTAGCTCCCATTCATGAAAAATCATTCATGCAGCAGACCACCCTTGCCAGGATATCTCAACTTCCGCCCACTGGCTAGGATTAAGTAGTGAAAGGGAAATCACAATAGACTCGAAGAGCAGAGGGGTGTGGAAGAATGATGAACTGTGCGACCGATGGAGATGCTAGCTATTAACATACCAGGGGGTATATATCTCCAACCGCTATCAACTCCGGAAACCAAAGAAACCCCACGAATCCCAATGAAACACACTATCCCGACGAACCGCGATCCCCCGCGATCCCCCCACAACCCCGAGACCCGCCAGATACCCCATGATCCTCAACGACGCCTCAAAAAAAACTACCGTATGATACGCCCTACGGCATAGGGTGTGGAAGAAGCAATGCAAATATCCCATACCCGATGCCGCACAGAAACAGGTATCCACAAAACCAAAAATCCATATGCCCTACCCAACAAAACCACTGCCCTATCCCCGCAATGCAGTAGATGATAAGACGGCACTGCAAGGAGATGCGGAATATGGGGTATGCCTATCGAGTGCTGAATGTGGGTGACACTAAATGACTAGGAGGAGTGTACTGGGCCCCTGTTTGTTTGTCCATTCGTTAGTTTTCTAGCCTTCTTTTGTTTGTGCCCTCCGCCTAGGTGGTACGGCACCTGGTGAGATTTGCTTCGTCCCAATTAGATCACTTCCCGCGAGACTCCTCCCTACGTCCGTTTCCCACAGCCATCTACTCGAGCGACGCTAGCGATACCTACGGCCGAAACGGTCTTTCCCCCCGGTAACCAAGGCCCTTTTCCGCACGCCCCAGTAAAAATAATAATAATGGTGATACTGTCTCCCGGGCAGCCTGAAACAGCCAAACCAGCACCAAGGCACACCAACGTCAGATTTCGGCAGCAGTTGGCTATGCTCGACCGGAAATAAGAACGTTTTTTTTAAAAAAATAATAATCGGATTCTCTAGCGCTCAAATGGCTCAGAGAGAGCATTCTTACCCAATGGCAATGCCCAAACCGCTCCAACATAAGGTTAATGTCCCCAGATACGAATTTGAGGGTATAGTATCGATCTCCCAAAGGATAGTAGAGCTGAAACAAGATACTACTATTTCTGAAGCGAGGGGCGTTCGGCAGTCCCAAGATTTTACTGCACTATTTTTTTTTCTTTTTTGTCAACACAAATCCTATCAGATTTTTAGACCCTAATCTTTATCATCACGGTACGGTACATACTGTGTTTACTAAATTTAGAATTATTGAACCCCGCGCGAGGACATTGGAGTTGCCCCCGCTTGTGCTCTGTAGGGTGGGACACTTCTTTACTTTTTTCCACGTGGGAAGCTAGGGTTGCGGGGGCCGGTTCCAGTCGTGCTTCACCCCCTCCCCTAACTTACCCAAGAGAGGGAATTTTGGACGTCATAACGAACGGTTCAATTATCACTGTCTAATATAGTACCCTAGATTAATAGTTGCATTGGGGATCCGGAGGGTTTTCGCATATCAAGCATATTCTGATAATATTATCATACGCTTTTCTTTTCTTTCTTCTAAAGTTATTTTCTATGAACACCGATACGGCAGATATAGAGGCAAAGATCCAAATGCTTATGGATGATTTTATTCGGTTTGGAAAATATGACTTCATTATTCGGAAAGGAAGATCGCAGGTACAGATTAACGGATGTCAATGAAGATCTCAACATCCAGCAGCCAACTACTCAATAACACAGAAGAACTCGCTGTCTGCATCCATCTAAGGTGGGTATGATATATCGGGAAAAGGAGACATTGAGCTGGTACAGTACAGTATGTTCCATTGAGCTGGTTGGCATGGCCTCGCTGCCGTTACGCAATCTAAGCAGGAGTCCTTGGCACGCTTATACAATGTTCCATTCTTTTACTCACACGACCAAGTTAAAGTTAGACACTCACAAGCGTAGTGATCACCGGGCCAGTGAATGGATGCCCCTTGGCTACCAAACAGAGTAGTGTGATTCCATATATCGTAGTTAACAAATGGTATCAGATCGTGCCAGACCAGCACTCATGAGGACTTGGGGAGCTCTTTTTTGGGCGTTATGGACCAAAATTGCCCGGTGATTTGTGAGAAGCTTCAAAGGGTGATACTTCAGAACGGAAGCGATAATTTTGGGGGCCATATTCCAGGCTACTGGAGTATGTGATGGTTCGTAAGTTTATGTATCTTGAGTGCGGTAATAAAGTGCGAAAGGGCTACTTTTTTTATTATTTTGTACCGTAAATAATTATTAATCGCGTTGCCTAGGGCGAGCCGGTTATTAGTCTAGAGACAGCTACTCTATCCGGGTGCCCAACTTCAACTCGGACGCGGGAGTACGAGTACAAAACACTCCGACACTACAACTACAGTAACGGGTAAGCGGTGTAAGCAAAGGGTAAGCCAAGACGCGGGCCGTTGTAAGCATGGAAGCTGTCGAATGCTGCTTTAACACAACTTCCTTCACTTCAAAACCGCCATGATCTCCACAAGGTTGAATCTTACTCAGGTTAGCTACGAGTAGCACCAACCCTTCGGAACACCCCCGCCTCCTACCTCTGCCAACGCTCTGTCTCGAAAATCTCCAACTATCCAGGTCGAGCCCGCAACCGACCTACTTAGCATTCCCCGACGGGACCCTTGCTCCACCGCCACATCCACCATACACAGATCCTGTCCTGGTTACTGTTTCTATCTTAGCATACCCTGCGAGGAGAATGGATATTGTTATCCTGACCATTCGTAAGTTGTATTCGGGTTCTAAGTGTAAGCGTTTAGCATGGTGCATTGCGCTTACATCGTCCACCTCTCTCCATGCATTTCGTAAAAACCAAAAGCTGACCCGTGCGCATCGCGAGCTATGATCATGCTATAAATTGTCCATGAGAATTTAGAACCGTGCCAATATCCTACCACTACTACTACTTCTATTACATAGTGCTTCTAATCAACCCCTACCAATCTTCCCGACCCAATCAGCCGGTTAAGAAACCCCCGAAGGAATGTAAGAAAGTGCACAAAGCTTAACGGCGGTGAGCGCACAGAGCAAGACTACAAGGTTGAATAAATTAAAGGGCCATTCATTCAGCCCACCTATCCCAGCAAAAGAGAAATTCAAGTCACACTCCTTCATTTTTCTTTCCTGTTTTCCTCTTAATTCTCTCCCGAGGGGAGTCTGGTGATATTCGCTGGTCCTGATTAATATTTCTTGACCGGAACCCGTACTATTAGATCCCCGATCGCTATTGGTCTGCCATCGTAGCATATCAACCCATCCCGCGCATAGACCCCACCCCCTCTTCCACCCTACCCGCACAAAAAAAGCTTCTTCTGCAGAGTAACACACCTGACCACAAAAGAGAAAGGTAAGAAAATAAAAATAAAATTGTGGACGATTACCTTACCGCCACTCATCGGAAATCACTCGCACTAGAAGCGCTTTCCTCCCAGCCAGCAGCCAAAGGATTCCAACCACCATTCCGGAAACCAGAGTAAAGTAAAGTGGTGATGGCGTACAGTAAGAAGGAGTGCTGGAATACCGTGCTAAAATTACTCCAATATTTTACCTTGATTCATCACGAGCTGAAATGAGATTGGTGACTGTTTCTCCCGTTTCGCTCTCTCTTCCATTCATCCGCTTGCATTTCCATATTGGGAGAGAATACCCAGCCCAGATCGCCAGGTCCAACTGTCGGAAAGGGGAACCTTCGGGCCTACCAATCCTGATTGAACACCGGATCTGAGCCGGGGATTTACATTGCTGTATTCAATCTCTCTTTTTATCCTATAGTACTAGCCACATTTTTCACCGCGATTGAGGTATCCTCAGGATGTCCATATATACAAGCTAGAGAATTATTGGCGGCGTCACCGATGCTGCTGTCCATGAGATTATTTGTGATCCACCCTTGGGCGTGCCATCTAATCCTCAGAAGTTGGTCATTGTGTGTCTATTTGCATGCTTTTGTGGCATTCGTTGCGCCCTCCGTATCGCACAGTGCGGTATCAAACAGTGTTCCTCACGAGCCCAGCCACTGGGCCGATCTGGCTCGGCTCGACAACGCACGGGCCCAAGCCGCCCGAGATCCAAGTTATGGCTCGAGCCTCTCAAAATAGGCTCGGGAATTAAGGCCCGATCCAGCTTGATCCTGGTTTTGTCACTGGTCACTCAGCGTCACTCGCCAAATCCATCTGCACGGGGATCCATGCAATGAACCTTCATGGAGGATAAGCTCTAGATATGAAGTGTTAAAGCAAATCTCCAAATTCTACCGCGAAAATACCATCTTTCCGCTCAGCTAGCACCCCTTAGCTCGAGTAAATCAATCGAGAACTGTATGTTTACAGAAAACCCAACCGACTTCCTCAACCAAGATTCCTCATTGCTCTCTAACATACTCCCCTATTCTCACTCAACCTCTCATGAATCTAGCAAAATTCGGAGTAACATAAAGTTGGATCTGTAGTAGGCTTTCCGATCCGAGTTAGACTACCAAGGGCGCGTGCAAGCGGCTTCCGGGTCATGGGAAAATTCAAAGTTATTAAATTTCTTTCTCGCTCGCCTACTAGTACCTCCACGACATATACAAGGTAATCTTGGGGATACCGATCTCTTTCCATTTTTTTCCTTACTGGTTTGAAATAGAAATAGAAATAGTTTGAATAAGCTCGAGCCAATTTTTAGATGAGCTCGTTAGGAACGCGAGTATCATATAGAAACTTGGGCCCCCCCTCATCTTTTTCACTCCCCACCCCGCCTCCCTTCCCTTCAATGGTAGCTGGGTCACTCACTGTTCCAGCTATCATACCTAGACAACCTGCCGGTGCATTGTTTTTCCTTCGTTAGCTATTTGGTATACTTGTGTTTGTGCCCCCTGTGTAAGTGAGGTGCCGTTTGAATTGGTTTTTTTTTCTTGCTTAGGTAGTTTCCGTGAGTGCTCTTTATACCTCCGTTTGTCACAATCACAAACGCAAGCAACCCTCACTGTTAAAATTTTCTTGCTCTTCGATAATCAAACTTCTGCCACAAATCAGGCTACCCCCATCCTCCATTCTACCGGTGCTCGCTCTACCTAACCACCGCTACACAACAATACCCGACGAGAGGTACTATACTAATCCTCACCCAATCTGGACTTTTTTCTAAACAAAAACTTATAAAATTGACCTCCCCTCAACCCTCCTGCGACTCCACTGGTGGTTCCCCTCAGGCGACCTCCTCTTTTCCTCGTACAAGGTTTTGGCCAATTGCTTGTGTCTAAAAATCCCAGCCCCATCATCCAAAATGTTATGATCGGAGTCAGTGAACCAATGCACGTGCATCTTCTCAGGACTCACGTCCTCGTAAACCAGTGCGTCAGCAAGCACAGCTGCGTGCTGAAAATGGACATTGTCGTCGCCAGTCCCGTGCTGGATGAGGAAGCCACCAGCAACATTCTTGAATCCAGATGTCTTAGTTATCGCAGAAGCATTGTAGCCCAATTGGTTGGCGGTTGGAGATCCCATGTACCGTGCAGTGTAAATGGCATCATAGAAGCGCCAATCTGTTACTGGAGCGGTCATCTATTCTACTTTAGCGGCTGGGTTGAGAGTGGGGATAGGAGGGGAATTGGGGAAAGGACATACAATGCCTAAAGAGAACGCTCCGGAATCCAATTCAAGAACTTTACCAGTGAGGTATCCGCCGTAACTCCCCCCCCAAATAGCAATCTTCTCCCCATCAACATAGTCTCGCTTTGCATACTCCCTGGCGGCCCAAACTTGATCTTCCGCCTCCAACTTTCCCAGCTGACCCGCGACCATGGTACGGAATTTCCGCCCCTTATACCCCGTTCCACGGCTGTCCACGGTGACAACAATGTACTCCAACTCGGGATCCGAACCCAAGTATGCGCTAAAGTCAACTGTCCGTCGAAAGGTCTTTTCAGTGCGCTGCGAACCTGGGCCACCATATATATCAAATAGTACTGGGTATTTCTTTCCCTTACGGAATTTTGGCGGAAGACGCTCCATGAGGTTGAGCTCATATCCATCCGGGTGCTTGAGAGTCGACCAGGAGATTATGGGAAGAGAATATGCGGAAAGTTTGTTCTTGAGGGAGGCGTTGTCGTTCGTCACTCGGATGGGAGTATCGGAGCCTATGCGGCGAAGCACCTGCCATGGTAGGTTTGGTCCTTTATAGCTCAGGGTGTAGTACCCTCCTCCGGGAGAGAAGCTGGCATCGTAATATCCGTCTTTGGTGATGTCCATGAGAGCATTTTTTGTCTTTCCATCAAGACTCACAGTAAAGATGTGGCGTTCTGTAGAATCACACTCGGTGGATTGGTAATGGATCAGACCGCGCTTAACGTCGACTGAGTAAATCGCGGTGACTTCCCAGTTACCAGATGTCAACGGGATCGGTTCACCACCAGACACTGGGTAAAGATAAATATGCGCCCAGCCAGAATGATCCGAGATATCCACATAGGCAGGAGTAGAAAGTCCCGGGATATCTATCCAAAATAATTAGTGACTCCCAAACCCACATTAACACCCCGGAACGGAAAACTCGCAAGTAATAGCAAAATAATTCTCCAACCATCCATCCGTACCATCCCTCTCCCTCACAACCTGTGCATCCCCGCTCTCAACATCAATCAAAACTAACTTTTCCGTATCTTGTGACTTATTCTGAGTGCGGAGGATGACGCGCTCATGTTTCTCCGTGACCCAGGCAACCTCGGTGATTATCAAATCATCCGGAGCATATGTTTGAAAGTCAATCTTCCTCGGGGCAGATGGGCTGTTGACCTCGAGTAGATGGAAGGTAACAGTGGAGATATTCTCTCCCGCTTTAGCATACTTTACAAGCCTCTCATTAGGGTAAGTTGGGGCAACTCGTTGCTTAGCCATGTAGGACGTCATGGTATATGTTGGTACCTACATTCGCCTAGTTTAGCGCCATAATAACCCACATGGGCTTGGTAGAAAGTATGAATGGAGAGCATACTTCTGTCTCGTCAAACTTCAAGAAAGCAAGATACTCCCCATCCGGTGAGAACCATAGTGCATCCGGCTTCCCCAGGAGACCTAACTCCCAACCAAAGAAAAAAAAACGTAAACCATTAATCCCAGCTTCCCGCGAAAATGACTTAGGAGAGGAGTTACAAACCCGCTTCATATACCCAACCCAGCGCCCCATTAAACAAATTGTCCCCCCCATCATCGGTAACCCTAGTACTCAGCCCGTCCTTCCAAATAAACAAATTATTCTCCCGGACATAGGCAATCACATCACCACGGGGACCCCACACCGCAGACTGCACATCGCTGCTCTGCCCCTCGACAAGGGGAACCAGGGTCTTACTCTCCACACTCCAAACATAGTAATTCGCGACATGCATGTTACGGTATAAGACTGTGAGGTTCGAGCTAAACAGGACGTGCTTCCCGGAGGGTTGGATGGAATAGCCACTGTAGACTATCCCCAACTCGACGGCATCGACGAACACGCTACTATAATTCTTGGAAACATCCCACAACATTAAGGTCTTCGTCGAGGGGTCGTCTACCACGTATGTCCCGTCGGAGGAATTCCCCGTAGAAATCCATCGAACGCTGCTTTCCGAGTAGCTAAAGTTCCCGGATGCAGCGTCGGCGAAGGTCACCAGTCTCCCTGCACCCGGAGAGGTGGAGTTTCCCTGGTCATACTCTTGAGTGGTCGGGGCTGCTTGAGAGATGTATGAAAGGCACAGAAAGGAAAACAGGAATGTCGTGTAGAACCTCATTTTTGTTCCAATTGGTAAGTGGGGTTCTAGAAAATCGATTCTGAGCCCTTTATATATAAGATATATCCAGCTCAACCGCCAGTCTCCCAATCGCCCAAAATAGATTCCATTCTTCAGCTGTCTCCCCAGAGCAAGAACCAGATGCTCTATGCTCCCTACTCCTCATGACCACCAGCCAGCGATCACTAAAGTAATCCCCATGCAAAGAGGGACCCAGCCGTGATACAAAAGTGCACTTATCTTACGATACCCGAAATCAGAGCAACAGCGACAAATCGGGAAAGGGGAAACATGAGATACTTACACTTGGGATCCCTAGTCGCTATATCCGGCCGCCCTACCATACACCCTAGTACTCGTAATGTTGAAGCGTTGTTAAAGAACTACTACTATATACCACCAAACCTCGTCCTACCATTCAACAGCCCCGGAAGCGGCCAGGTGTCGGGATCCTGTGCAGGTGTAGAGGCGGGGATCCAGGGTCCCTGTGAGTAGGTTTTTTTTTTTTTTTTTTCACCCCCGAGCACAATGTATCTCAGGATTGGCACATGGCTTCAATATTCGCAAAGGAAGATTACAGGAACAGATTAACGGACGCCAATCAACTACTCGCTAATACAGAAGAATTCACTGTCTGCATCCATCTAAGGTGGGTATGGTATATCGAGAAAAAAGTGACATTGAGCTGGTACCGGTACAGCATGTTCCGTTGAACCGGTCGGCACGTCTCAGGTGTGCTGCAAGATTAGAATCCCTCGCTGTTGCACAACTTCACCAGGAGTCCTTGGCACGCTTATGCAATGTTCGATTCTTTTGCAAAACACGCCGGCACTGCCACTACAGTAACGGGTAAGCAGGATAAGCAAAGGGTAAGCATAGACGTGGGCCTCCTTCACTGCAACACCACTATGATCTACACTGGGTTGAATCTTACTCAGGTTAGCCAGCACCCATTCTTCGGATCATCCTCGCGTCCTAACTTATCTCTACCAGCGCTAGGTCCGGAAAATTTCAGGTTGTTCTAGTCGAGCCCACAACCAACCTGCTTGGCATTTCTCGGCGAGACTCCTGGTCCACTACCACATCCACCACAGCCCAGATCCTGTCCTGGCCCTTATTCCCATCTCGGCATTCCCTGCGAGAACAACGGCCACTCGTAAGTTGTACACGAGTTCTAAGTGTAAGCGTTTAGCGTGGTGCATTGCACTTACAAAGTTCCATCTAGCTCCACGCAATCCGCAACGACCAATAGCTGGCCCGTGCGTCCGGGGAACTATGATCATGCTATAAATTCAATCGCGGAAATTTAGAACCGTACCGAGGCCTACTAGTACTACTCTACCGGTACTACTAATAATAAACCCCCACCAATCCTCCCGACCCAATCACTCTGTTAAGAAAACCTCCGAAGGAATCTAAGAAAGTGCATAAAGCTCAACGGCGGTGAGCGCACAGCTCTAGAATACAAGGTTGAATAAATTAAAGAGCTATTCATTCAGGCCCGCCTATCCCGACAAAAGAGAACTTCAGGTTGCACTCCTTCATTTTTCTCTCATATTTTTCTGTTCCTTCTTTTTTGGGAGGGAGTCTGGTGATATCCGCTAATCCTGTTTAATAATAACCGTATCGGACCCGTATTATTGGATCCCCGATCGCTACTAGTCTGCTATCATAATATATCAACCCATCCCGCGCATAGCCCTCACCTCCCTCTCCCACCGTACCCGCACAAAAAAAGCTTCTTCTGCACCACAAAATAGAAAGGTAAAAATAAATAAAAATTGTGGACGATTACCTCACCACCGCTCATAGAAAATCACTCGCACCAGAAGCGCTTTCCGCCCCCCCAGCAGCCAAAGGATTCCAACCACCATTCCGGAAACCAGAGTAAAGTAAAGCGGTGATGGCGTACAGCAAGAAAGGGTGGAAACAAGCTCTGGAATACCGTGCCGGTGTTGCTCCAATATTTTACTTTGATTCATCACGAGCCGAAATGAGATCGGCGGTGGTTTCTCCCGTTTCGCTTCCTCTTCCATTTATCATCCGCTCACATTTCCGTATTGGGAGAGCCTACCCAGCCCAAATTGGCAGGTCCAGCTCTCAGGAACCGGGAAACTCTTCGGGTTTAGCAATATAGATGAACACGGGATTTGGATTGAGAAAATACAGTGCTGTGTTCTTCAATATTTTTTTTATCCTATAGCACTTTATATTTTCACTGCGATTGGTCGTAATCCACCCTATGATATCTACATGTGTGACAGAGCTTAGTCACTATAGATATACATTTACATAATTATAATACTTTTGAGGCATCCATTTCCGCCCTCCGTATCGCACAGTGAGGTATCATATAGTGTTCCTTACGAGCCCGGCCACTGGGCTGACCTGGCTCGGCTCGGCAGCGTGTGGGTTCATGCCCCAGCCCGATCCTAGTTTTGTCACTAGTCGCTCAGCATCACTCGCCAAACCTATCTGCACGGGGATCCATATAATGAACCCTCGTGGAGGATAAGCTCTAGATATGAAGTGTGTCAAAGCAAATCTCCAAATTCTATCCCGAAGATATCATCTGCCCGCTTAGACAGCACCCCTTAGCTCGAGTAAATCAATTGGGAGCTATATGTTTATAGAAAACCCAACCGACTTCCTCAACTCAAGATTCCTCATTGCCCTTTAACATACTCCCTTATTCTCACTCAATCTCTCGTGAATCCAGCCAAATTAAGGAGTAACATCAAGTTGGATCTGTACTGGGCTCCCCGATCCGAATTAGATTACCAAAGGGGTGTGCAAATTGCTTCCGGGTCATGGGAAAATTTAAAGTTATTAAATTTCTTTCTAGCTTGCCTACTAGTACCTCCACGACATATACAAGGTAATCTTGGGGATACCGGTCTCTTTTCATCTTTTCCTTACTGGTTTGAAATAGAAATATAAATCGTTTGAATAAGCTCGAGCCAATGTTTAGATGGGCTCCTTAGGAACACCAGTATCATATAGAAACTTGGGCCCCCCCTCCCTTCAATGGTAGCTGGGTCACTCACTGTTGCAGCTATCATACCTAGGAAACCCGCCGGTGCATTGTTTTTCCTTCGTTAGCTATTTGGCATACTTGTGTTTGTGCCCCGGTATAAGTGAGGTGCCGTTTGAATTGTTATTTTTTCTTGCTTGGGTGGTTTTCCGTGAGTGCTCTTTATACCTCTGTTTGTCACAATCACAAACGCAAGAAACCCTCACTGTTAAAATTTTCTTGCTCTTCCATAATTAAACCTGACACAAATCGGGCTACCCCCATCCTTCATTCTACCGGTGCTCGCTCAACCTAACCACCGCTACACAAAAATACCGGACGAGAGGCACTATACTAACGCTCTCTCAATCTCGCCTTTTTACCAAACAAAAATCTATAAAATTGACCCCCCCCCAACCTCCCTGCGACTCCACTGATGGTTCCCCTCGGGCACCCTCCTCTTTTCCTCGTACAAGGCTTTGGCCAACTGCTTGTATAAAAAGCTCCGGGCGCCATCATAATTAATATTATGATCCGAGTCAGTGAACCACTGCACGCGCATCTTCTCAGGACTCACGCCCTCGTAAACCAGTGTGTCGACAAGAACAGCCACGTTCTGGAAATGGACATTGTCGTCGCCAGTCCCGTGCTGGATGAGGAAGCCACCAGCAACATTCTTGAATCCAGAGGTCTCGGTTATCGCAGAGGCATTGTAGCCCGATTTGTTGGCGGTTGGAGATCCCATGTACCGTGCAGTGTAGATGACATCATAGAAGCGCCAGTCTGTTACTGGAGCAGTCATCTATTCTACTTTAGCGGTTGGGTTGGGAGTGGGGATAGGAGGGGAATTAGGGAAAGGACATACAATGCCTAAAGAGAACGCTCCGGAATCCAATTCGAGAACTTTACCGGTGAGATACCCGCCAAAGCTCCACCCCCAAATAGCAATCTTCTCCCCATCAACATAGTCTCGCTTTGCATACTCCCTAGCAGCCCAGACTTGATCTTCAGCCTCCAACTTTCCCAGCTGACCGGCGACCATGGTACGGAATTCCCGCCCCTTATACCCCGTCCCACGGCTGTCCACGTTGACAATGATATACTCCAACTCGGGATCCGAACCAAAGTATGCGCTAAAGTCAACCGTCCGTTGAAAGGTCTTGTCAGTTTTCTGCGAGCCCGGGCCACCATATATATCAAATAGTACCGGATATTTCTTTCCCTTACGGAAATTTGGCGGAAGACGCTCTAAGAGGTTAAGCTCATATCCATCTGGGTGCTTGAGAGTCGACCAGGAGATTTTGGGGAGAGAATATGCGGAAAGTTTGTCTTTGAGGGAGACGTTGTCGTTCGTCACTCGGATGGGAGTATCGGAGCCTATGCTGTGAAGCACTTGCCATGGTAGGTCTGGTCCTCTATAACTCAGGATGTAGTACCCTCCTCCGGGGGAGAAGCTAGCACTGTAATATCCTTCCTTGGTGATGTCCACGAGGGCATTTTTCGTCTTTCCATCAAGACTCACAGTAAAGATGTGGCGTTCTGTAGAATCACACTCGGTGGATTGGTAATGGATCAGACCACGCTTAAGGTCGACTGAGTAAATCGCGGTGACTTCCCAGTTACCAGATGTCAACGCAATCGGTTCACCACCAGACACTGGGTAAAGATAGATATGCGCCCAGCCAGAATGATCCGAGATATCCACATAGGCAGGAGTAGAAAGTCCCGGGATATCTATCCAAAGAATTAGTGACTCTCAAACCCACATTAAACACCCCGGAACGGGAGACTCACAAGTAATGGCGAAATAATTCTCCAACCATCCATCCGTACCATCCCTCTCCCTCACAACCTGTGCATCCCCGCTCTCAACATCAATCAAAACTAACTTTTCCGTATCTTGTGATTTATTCTGCGTGCGGAGGATGACACGCTCATGTTTCTCCGTAACCCAGGCAACCTCGGTGATTATCAAATCATCCGGAGCATATGTTTGAAAGTCAATCTTCTTCGGGGCAGATGGGCTGTTGACCTCGAGTAGATGGAAGGTAACAGTGGAGATGTTCTCTCCCGCTTTAGCATACTTTACAAGCCTCTCATTAGGGTAATTTGGGGCAACCCGTTTTCCAGCCATGTAGGACGTCATGGTATATGCTGGTACCTACATTCGCCTAGATTAGCACCATACTAACCCACATAAGCTTAGTAGAAAGTATGAATGGAAAGCATACTTCTGTCTCGTCAAACCTCAAGAAAGCAAGATACTCCCCATCCGGTGAGAACCATAATGCATCAAACTTACCGAGGAGCCCTAACTCCCCACCAAAGAAAAAAAAAGGGTAAGCCATTAATTCCACCTTCCCGCGAATGGTTTGGGGGAGGAATTACAAACCCCCGTCATATATCCAACCCGGCACCCCATTAAACACATCCTCTTTCTCCCCATCATTGGTAACCCTAGTACTGACCCCGTCCTTCCAAATAAATAAATCATTCCCTCGGACATAGGCAATCACATCACCATTGGGACTCCACACCGCAGACTGCACGTCTCTGCTCTGTCCCTCGACAAGGGGAACCAAGGTCTTACTCTCCACACTCCAAACATAGTAATCTGCGACACGCATGTCACGGGATACGACTGTGAGGTTCGAGCTAAACAGGACGTGCTTCCCGGAGGGTTGGATGGAATAGTTACTGTAGACCATCCCCAAGTCAGCAGCATCGACGAACACGCGACTAGCATTCTTGGCGATATCCCACAGCATTATGGTCTGCGTCGAGGGGTCGTCTACCACGTATGTCCCGTCGGAGGAATTCCCCGTAGAAATCCATCGAACGCTGCTTTCCGAGTAGCTAAAGTTCCCGGATGCAGCGTCGGCGAAGGTCACCAGTCTCCCAGCGCCCGGAGAGGTAGAGTTTCCCTCGTCATATTCTTGAGGGGTCGGGGCTGCGTGAGAGAGGTATGAAAAGCACAGAAAGGAAAACAGGAATGTCGTGTAGAACTTCATTTTTGTTCCAATTGGTAAGTAGAGTGCTCCGGAGTCGATCCTGAGCCCTTTATATATAATATAAATCCAGCACAACCGCCAGTCTCCCAATCGCCCAAATAGATTCCATCCTTCAGCGGTCTGCCCAGCGCAAGCCCCAAATGCCCTATGCTGCCTACCCACTCATGACCACCAGCCAGCGATCACTAAAGTAATCCCCATGCAAAGAAGGACCCAGCCGTGACACAAAAATGCACTTATCTTACGATACTCGATATCAGAGCAACAGCGACAAATCGGGAAAGGGAAAATATCAAAGACTTACGCTTGGGATTCCTAGTCGCGATATCCGACGCCCCTGCCATACACACTAGTACTCGTAGTGTCGAAGCGTTGTTAAAGAACTGCTACTATATACCACCGAAACCTCGTCCTACCATTCAACAGCTCCCGGAAGCGGCCAGGTGTCGGGGTCCTATGCAGGTGTAGAGGCGAGGATCCAGGGTCCCTGTGGGAGGTCCGTTTTCAGCCCGGAGCACAATGTACTTCAGGATTCCCACATGGCTTCAATATTCGCAAAGGGAGATTACAGGAACAGATTAATGGATGACAATCAAGATCTCAACACCCAGCAACCAATCAGCTACTCACTAATACAGAAGAATTCGCTGTCTGCGCCCATCTAAGGTGGATATGATCTCTCAGGAAAAAGGTGACATTAAGCTGGCACCGGTACTGTATGTTCCGTTGAGCCGGTCGGCACGTTTCAGGTGTGCTGCGAGATTGGAATCCCTCGCTGTTACACAATTTCACCAGGAGTCCTTGGCACGCTTATGCAACGCTCGATTTTTTTACAAAACACGCCGACACCACCACTACAGTAACGGGTAAGCAGGGTAAGCAAAGGGTAAGCATAGACGTGGGCCTCTTTCACTTCAACACCGCCATGATCTACACTGGGTTGAATCTTACGCAGGCTAGCCAGCACCCATTCTTCGGAACATCCTCGAGTCCGGAAAATTTCAGGCTGTTCTAATCGAGCCCTCAACCCACATACTTGGCATTCCTCGGCGAGACTCCTGGTCCACTGCCACATCCACCACAGCCCAGATCCTGTCCTAGCCCTTATTCCCAGCTCGGCATTCCCTGCAAGAACGGCCACTGCCATCTCGGCCACTCGTAAGTTGTATACGGGTTCTAAGTGCAAGCGCCTAGCGTGGTGCGTTGCACTTACAAAGTTCCACCTGGCTCCATGCAATCCGCAACGGCCAACAGCTGACCGGTGCGTCCGGGGAACTATGATCATACTATAAACTCAACCGCGAAAATTTAGAACCGTACTGAGGCCTACTACTACTACCGCCACTACTACTAATCAACCCCTACCAATCCCCCCGGCCCAGTCACTCGGTTAAGAAAACCTCCGAAGGAATCTAAGAAAGTGCACAAAGCTTAACGGCGGTGGGTGCACAGCGCCAGAATACAAGGTTGAATAAATTAAAGGGTCATTTATTCAGCCCACCTATCCCGACAACAGAGAACCTCAGGTTACACTCCTTCATTCTTCTTTTCCTATTTTCCTGTTGCTTCTTTTTTGGGAGGGAGTCTGGTGATATTCGCTGATCCTGTTTAATAATAACCGTACCGGACCCGTACTACCGTACTGGATCCCCGATCGCTATAGGTCTGCTATCGTAGCATATCTACCCACCCCGCGCATAGCCCTTCCCTCCCTCTTCCACCGTACCCGCACAAGAAAGCTCATTTTACACAGCAACACACCAGGCCACAGAATGGATGGAAGGCGAAAAAAAAACCAAAAATTTGTGGACGATTGCTGCACCACTATTCATAAAATATCACTCGCCGAAGAAGCTCTTTCCTTCCCGCCAGCAGCTAGGGGATTCCAACCACCATTCCAGAAACTAGAGTAAAGTAAAGCGGTCATGGCGTAAAGTAAAGGTTGCACCGCCATCGCCACTCAAGATGCATAACCCACTTCGACTCCCGCCGCAATGCAAAGAAACCATCACCAGCTGAACTCAAGCATGATCTATTCACGCAACTCCCCCCTTGCAACAGTGCTGAAATTTCATCCAATATTTGCTTTCACTCATCACTCCCTGAAATTATATTGGCAACTTCTCCCGTTTCGCTCTCTCTTCCATCCGTCCACTTGCATTTCCACATCGGGAGAGCCTACCCGGCTCAAGGCGGCAAGGTCCAGCTACCCGGAAGGGGAAGCCCTTCAGGCTTAGCAATACGAGTACAGATGAATACGTGGTTTGGGTTGAGAATTTACACTGCTGTATTCTTCAATCTTTCTTTTTATCTCACAGTACTGTTTGTTTTTCACTACGATTAATGTATTCTCGAGATGTCTGTCAGGGCTAAAGGTGATGGTGGGTTTTTTTTGCTATTATTGAACGCCGTCAGAGACGCCACCTTCGATTGGGCATTGAGGGGAGCTTCCTTGTTGATTGCTACGATATGGTATTTTTTTTTCGTTAAATTCTTTGAATGTTTAAGGGCACACTCAAAGCAACAGCTGCTCGGGTATGCTATGGCCAGAAAACCCAAAGCAATGCATCCCAGTACTGTCCAATGTCCCCAAATCTCAGTCCCTCTAGTCTAGAACCAACCGCATGTCCTTCCCCAAAAATGGAAAAGAAAAAAAACCTCCCCCAAATCGAGAAAGGCAGGCAAGAAAAGGGAAGCACCAATAGTGAGCTCAAAGAAAAACAAATGACAATACCAAGTGTGCCCTCGGCCAATATAGCGCTAGTTAACGGAGCCAAGGGTCTTCTGTCGAATTCCAGTTTTAGGGGCCAGGAAACCCTCGGTGAAAGTCTTGCCGGAAAAAAACCTGGCGAGAACTCGGAGGCCCCTGGGGGAGATGCCACAGTGGCTGGCTGGACAAAGCGTGACTTCGGAGGTAGTGCAATACCAGCACCCCAACTCCAGGTATTCAGCCGCAGAAGAAAACTGTGATTGTGGGCCAGCAAAATACGAAGCTAGCAACGACCGACTGAGCAAGATGTACATCTCCAGGAACAGGCGATGCTACCAGAAGCGGTGTGAACCCTTTTCCGGAGCTCTCAACCGAGAGACCGGGGAAGAGGAGATATATGAACCCACGAGGAGAATTAACCCACACCAGCTTATCAAGCTCCAAGTTCAGGCGGGTAAGGAAGGATCGTGAGATCCTGAGCGTTGTTTTGCCCCGCAAATACCTTCCTAAGAAGCAAGCAAAAAGCGGAGTGAGGAAAATATAGATTCAAATTTCGTAACTACAGGAAACATTCCAATCCAGGCACTCTATCCCGCAGCCCCGTGTTCCATAGGATAAACCAACCCAATACGATATTCCACCTAATCCGCAGAACCTCTAGTTTAGTGTGATACTAACCGCATGACCATAACTAATGTCGAAGCCAGGCCAAAATAAGGACCTCCACTCCCAAACCAAAAACAAACCGCAGTCTAAAACACCACCTTATAGCCCTCCTTCACAAAAGAAAACCAAAACAACTACCAGGTCTCAGACCACGGTAACCCCCCGCCAAACAGCTTTTCTCCTCTCCTTGAAAGGCAAGCTCCTGAAGTACCCCTTCTTCATAAACTCACTCTCAATTCCATCTCTCTCCTCTATCCACCAATCGTCCTCCTCCGATGCCACTGACTCCGCACTATCCTCGGAGGCGGTTCCCTCCTCCTCTTCGGCCGCGGCCGGCACTTCTTCCACTCTTGGCCTCCAGGCCGGAATTACCATCTTCTCCACCACCATGCGGCTAAACTGCGGGACAGCCCTCAGTCCCGCGGACCCGCGGCCGCCTCCACCGCCGTCGGACAACGCCCTCTCGCGCTCCCCGGCCACTGGTACCCGCCCCCCAATGCCAAACTCCGCCGTTACCGGTCCTACCTCCTCCACTTCAGCCCCGACGGGCGTTCGTTTCACCAACGGCTCCACCACCGCATGCGCCATCGCTGACGCCACCTGCGGAGGCTTCGCCCCAGCCACCGGTGGCTCAATCGCCGCTACCGACAGCTCATCCTCCTCAGCCACCTCCTCACCAGTACCAGGCTGTGAGGGCAGCCTCGCTTCCTCCATGCGTGCCATGATTCCCAACAAGCAGTCCCTTTCCTGCTCCACCGTGTGAAGCCGCTTCGCCAGTACTGAGACGTTATGTCTCAATTGAGATACCTCCTTCTCCAAGGAGAAGTTCTTCTCAACCGCCGCCACGAGAACTACCGTCATCCGGGATGCGGTAGCGGTCGAAATTCTGGATCCCTTGGTAACCATCGTGCTTTGTATTGCCGATAGTCGATAAAGGGATAATGTAGGATGATGAAAGTGAAATGCTCACTTGAAATTGATGTTAAACTTAAGGTAGGATGCGTTAAGAATAAAGACCTGAAGCTACCGCAAGATAGAAGCAAGGGAGCTAACCGGCCGGAAACGTGAAATATGACAGATCACGAAAGGTGCGAAGGGAAAATAGCGGAGGATGGGCTTGCTGATTGCTATCGTAGAGGGGTGTCTATATATATTTTACTGTACTAGTACAAGTTAGAGACCCATTGGCCGTATCGCCAATGCCGTCCAAGCGATTGGTCGTAATCCACCCCTAGACCATCCAAATTCCCGACAGAGCTTTGTGATTGCGTGTGTGTGCTTGCATGCCATTGCGGCACTCGTTTCCGCCCTTCATATTGTACAGTGCAGTACTAAACAGTGTTCCTCACGAGCCCGGCCACTAGGCGGACCTGGCTCGGGTCGGCAGAATACGTGCTCAAGCCACTCGACATCTAAAGTAGGGCTCGCGCCTCCCAAAACATGCTCGGGAATTAAGGATCCTAGTCTTATCACTGGTCACCCAGTATCACTCGCCAAAACCATCTATACAGTGTGTTGAAATTGGGCTTTCAGATACGTCCTTGCTACGTCTTAGAGTACGACATCGCTGGTCATTCTCCTCTCCCTTAATGTCGGCTCCCTGGTAGCCCCCGAGTTTAACTTACCCCACTTGGGGTTTCCCTTATATCATCATTACTCAATCTATCCTGCAGATATGAAATGGTGTTTTCATTCACTTCTCTTGCCTTCTACTCGTATGTTGTTTCCTTTTTCTTCTTCTCCGCTGCTGATACCGGTATATGTTGCTGCTTTACAATATAAATAGCGGGTCCTCCCCAGGACCTGGTGTAGTATTCTCTTTAGAATAATTATCTGAACTTCTCACTCTCATCTCCCTCCGGAATCTGCCTTGATCATTGCACCCTTTTCAACACAGTGTGCTGAAATTGGGCTTTCAGATACGTCCTTGCTACGTCTTAGAGTACGACATCGCTGGTCATTCTCCTCTCCCTTAATGTTGGCTCCCTGGTAGTCCCCGAGTTTAACTTACCCCACTTGGGTTTTTCCTTATATCATCATTACTCCATCTGTCCTGCAGATGTGAAATGGTGTTCTCATTCACTTCTCTTGCCTTCTGTGTTGTTTCCTTTTTCTTCTTCTCCGCTGCTGATATATGTTGCTGCTTTACAGCATAAATAGCGGGTCCTCCCCAGGACCTAGTGTAGTATTCACTTCAGAATAATTATCTGAATTTCTCACTCTCATCTGCCTCCGGTATATGACTTGATCATTGCACCTTTTTTCAACATAGTGAACCTTAATGGAGGACTACGCTCCAAGCATGAAGCGCGTGAAAGCAAATCTCCAAACCCCGTCCCCCGAACATATCATCTTTCCCCTCAGCTCGAGTAAATCAATCTAGGGCTGTACGCTCACGGAAAATCTAATCAACTTCCTCCACCCAGGATTCCTCATCGCCCTCTAACATACCCCCCGATCCTCACCTAGCCCCTCACGAACCCAGCCAAATTTAGAAAGGGTAAAGTGGGATCCGTACTGGGCCACCCGCTCCGAGATTAGGCAAAGAAAAGTGTGCGCGAACGGCTTCCGTGACATCGGAAAATCCGGAGTTATCAAATTTCTTTCTCCCATTGCCTGCCTACTGGTACTGTACCGCCACGACATATACCGTACAGTGCAAGGCAATCTTGGAGATACCAGCCTCTTTCCAACTTTTCTTCACAGATTTGGAATGAAAATTAAATCGGTTGAATAAGGTTAAGCCAAAGTTTAGATGAGCTCGGGTATGATGCTACCGGTAGCTAGTCCATTTGCCCTTGCGGACCGTCCACAATCCTAACCCGCCGGTCTCGCACTATACCACACTCGATCCTAACTCTCCACAATGAAGAAATTGAAAACTGACTACAAAATAATTGCCTACTAAGAGTAGATTGGGATACGAGGAGGGAATTGAAGGGGTGAGTTTTTTTTAGAGTTTTTTTTTTTAAGAGGGTACGTTGTTTTTCTCCTTGTGGTATGGGAGGGTTAGTGGTATATGATAGACTGTCCACATGGCAATTGAACCAGCAAGTAGGCTCTGCTTGTAAGGAACACTATTATAGTATCATACAAGACCTTGGACCCCCCCCCGGTTCACCACAGGCAGAGTATCATATCATACCGCGATCACATCAATATCGATACCGTGTCTCCACCGCCGAGCACCAGAAGCGCTACACAACAATACCAGACAAGGGGTACTATACTAACCCCCGCCGGCCTCGACTGTTTTTCCAAACAAAAATCTATAAAATTGACCCCCCCTCAACCCTCCTGCGACTCCACTGATGATTCCCCTCGGGCCTCCTCCTCTTTTCCTCGTACAAGGCTTTGGCCAATTGCTTGTATAAAAAGTTCGTGGCCCGATGAAAATTAATGTTATGATCCGAGTCGGTGAACCACTGCACGTGCATCTTCTCAGGACTCACGCCCTCGTATACCAGGGCGTCTACAAGCGCAGCCGAGCTCTGGAAATGCACATTGTCGTCGCCGGTTCCGTGCTGGATGAGGAAGCCCCCGGCAACGTTCTTAAATCCGGCCACCTTGGTTATCGCAGAGTCATTGTACCCCGCGCGGTTGGTGGTCAAGAGTTTCATGAAACGCTCAGTGTACATGCTATCGTAGAAGCGCCAGTCGGTTAATGGGGCGGTCATCTATTCTGCTTTAGCGCCCAGTTCGGGAGTGAGGGTAGGAGGGGAAGTGGGGGAGAGGCATACAAGGCCTAAAGAGAACGCGCCAGAATCCAATTCGAGAACTTTGCCGGTGAGGTATGCGCCGTAACTCCACCCCCAAATAGCAATCTTCTCCGCGTCGACATAATCTCGCTTTGCGTACTCCTTAGCGGCCCAGACTTGGTCTTCAGCCTCCAACTTTCCCAGCTGACCAACGACCATGGTACTGAACTCCCGCCCCTTATACCCCGTTCCACGGTTGTCTACGCTGACAACAATGTACTCCAACTCAGGATCCGAACCCAAGTAGGCGCGAAAGTCAATGGTTCGGCGGAAGGTCTTCGCCGTGTATTGCGAGCCTGGACCACCATATATATCAAACAGCACTGGGTACTTCTTCCCCTTACGAAAACCCGGCGGTAGTCGCTCCAAAAAGTTGAGCTCATATCCATCTGGGTGCTTGAGCGTCGACCAGGATATTTTGGAGAGAGAATATGCGGAAAGTTTGTCCTTGAGGGAGGCATTGTCGTTGACCACTCGAATAGGAGTACCGGAGCCTACCCCGCGAAATTCTTGCCATGGCAGATCTGGCCCATTATAGCTCAGGAGGTAGTACTCCCCTCTGGGGGAGAAGTTGGCGCTGTAAGATCCTTCCTTGCTGATATCTACGAGAGGCTTTTTAGTCTTTCCATCGAGACTCACAGTAAAGATGTGGCGTTCTGTAGAATCACGCTCGGTGGATTGGTAATGGACTAGACCGCGCTTAGCATCGACTGAGTAAATCGCAGTGACTTCCCAGCTTCCAGACGTCAACGCAATCGGTTCACCACCGGACACTGGGTAAAGGTAAATATGCCGCCAGCCAGAATGATCCGAGATATCCACATAGGAAGGAGTAGAAAGCCCCGGGACATCTAACCAATAGAATAAGTAGCCCCTCGGCCGACACTGGAGCCCCCCGGAAGGAAGACTCACAAGCGATAGCAAGGTGGTTCTCCAACCACCCATCCGTACCTTCCCTCTCCCTCACAACCCGCGCGTTCCCGCTCTCAACATCAACCAAAATCAACTTTTCCGTATCCTGTACCCTGTTCCGTGTCCGGAAGATCACATGCTCGTGCTTCTCCGCGACCCAGACAACCTCGGAAAGAATCAAGTTATCCGGAGTGTAAGCCTGAAAGTCAATCTTCCTCGGGGCAGACGGGTTGTTGACCTCGAGTAGATGGAAGGTAACAGTGGGGTTTCTCTCTCCCACTTTAGGATACCTGATATGGAGCTCTTTGGGGTAAGGTGGGGCAACCCTTTGCCCGGCCATGTGGTACGGGACGGTATATGTTGGTACCTGCGTTCCCCCAATTAAGCACAATTGATGCGCACCGCTTTAGTAGAAAATATGAGTGGAAGTCATACTCCCGTCTCATCAAACCTCAAGAACGCAAGATACTCGCCATCCGGTGAGAACCACAATGTATACCTATCCCCGACGATTTCTTATTCCCCGCCAAAAAAGGGGGGGTAACCGTCAATCCCACCTCCTCACAAGAAAAATTAAGGAGGATCAGTTACAAACCTTCTTCATAGACCCAATCCGGCACCCCGTTGAGAACATTCTCCGCTCCATCAGTGGTAACCCTAGCACTCACCCCGTCCTTCCAAATAAACAAATCATTCCCCCGGACATAGGCAATTACGTCACCCTGCGGACTCCACGCCGCATACTGCACATCTCCACTCTGTCCCTCAACAAGGGGAACCAAGGTCTTCCGCTCCACATTCCAAACATAGTAATCGGCGAAATACGAGTGACGGTACTGCTTCGTGGAGTTGGCGCTAAACAGGACGTGCTTCGCCGACGGCTGGATAGTGTAGTCGCGGTAGTCTAGCTTCAACTCGGCGGCGTCGACAAACACACTACTGGCGTTCCCGACGATGTTCTGGAGTGTCAGGCTCGTTGTTGAGGGGTCCTGCGCCACGTATGTTCCGTCCGAGAAATCTCCGGCAGAAATCCATTGCGGGGTGGTTCGGGAGACGCTGAAGTTCCGGGACAGGGCATCGGCGAGGGTTGCCAGCTTCCTGGTGCCCAAAGCGGTGGAGTCTCCTTCCTCCTCCGCTTGCGGGGTTGGCGCTGCGTAGGAGATAGATGACGAGCCCAGAAGGGAGAGCAGGAATGCCGCGCGGAACCTCATCTCTGCCCCAATTGATAGGTGGGAGGAAGGAAATGCCCAAGAATTGCTCCTGGGCTACCGGTACTTATACAATAGCCCACCACGGCTGCCATAGGCCCGGCCCGCCCCCCAAAAAAACAGGCTTCATCCCCCGGTGATTCCCCCGGTGAAATTCCTAAATGCTTGCACTGCACCGTACCGACCAACTCAGGCCACCAACTACAAAGGTAATCTCTGCAATTAAGCGTCCCCTCTCCCACCCCAGAATTCCGGTCAACCCCTTATCACGCGAGAGGATTTACGCCCACCGTGCGGCATAGTAAACCTCCCTCCTACCCGCACGAAACTGGGGACACAGAAAGTGTCGGAACGGTGCAAGTACAATATTGGGGGGGGGGGGCGTTTATCCGATCGGAAAGCACACTTCCAACGGTTGATTTAATGATAATCTGGTGGGTGGGCTAGGCCACGAATCGGGTTGCAAACCGGGCGGACGCAGGAACGACTGAGACCCCTGTTACTTGTACTGTACTGTACTGTGAACTGGCGCCAGGTGTGTACGAGTAACGGTTGGTGGTACAGTGCCATACAGTACGCTGCACAGGAAAGAGGAGATCAGGTGGGGTGGAGGAATTTTATGTAGCTCTAGTACCTTGCAGAGAAAATACTGCCCAGCCTCAACCCCCAAAGGATTTTCGAGCACACCCAGGATGAGAATTATGGCTCCATTAGATGGTAGAGGGCGTGGTTCTCTACAAACTGATAGGGCGCAAACGGGGATATCTCAAGTTTTCATTGTGATGTCGGGGTTCAGGAGTATTAACTTACCGATGTTTTTCCTTGGCAAAAACAATGAATAGATATATGCCAGGGGATCAACCTGTAATAACGCCAGGCCGGCAAATTAACATACTGTACTCGAGTAGTAGACTACGTCTGCTGAACCAGGATAGTCTGCCGTTCCCTTGCAAATGCCCCTCGCCTTAGGGGAGGCCACAGCACGAGGAAACATCGCTAAAATTATATCACATCCCTAACCACACCGCCTCGCCACCTTCCTAAACTATCAGGATCCCCTCCTGCCCAGGGCGGAGTAGGAGAGGGAATTAACCGCACAATTCATACTTGTATATAACTTTTCCATTACAATTAAACCCACCACGGCCGTAAATCCAACTATTTTCAAAACCTTGGTATGATAATATCTCCCTCCCCCCACCAACCTACCCAACCTCACGAGAAAAAGATAAAGAAAAAGATAAAAAAAAAGAAAACATCCAAAACTAAACCATATTCCCTCCGGTCCCTCCGCCGGGTAATGCTGCGCCGTCATGCATGGTGTTATGTCCATTATGGTGTGACCCCTTCTCGTGCCGATTCCAACGACCGTGGTCATGGACACGACCATACTCCGTAAACTCCAGCCTCATACGCTCGAAATCGATATTCCTCGTGGCGAAGATTAGGGCTAGGGCGAACACGCCCTGGGAAAATACGTCCAGGACTCCGTAGAAGACGGCCCCCGAGTCGTTTTGCATGACGTTTCCGCCTTCAGAGAGGCCCCAGGAGGCGGGATACAGGAGCCTGAGAAAGTGCGGGTGAGCGGTTGAAACTATTGAGCAGAAGGGGAAGAGGTTTACATGAAGAATAGCGTGTAGGCCGCTAGTCCGGAAAATATCTTGTGAACGCCCGTATCTACCTTACTGGCATACTTCCTAGCAACGCCAAGCACTTGCCAGATGATGAAGAAGTAGATCATTACACCAAAGACATAGAATCCCCATTTATAATCCGAATGGACGAGACCGCCCACGAGTAGCATTGTCGCCCAAAGCATTGTCAACCCGATTGTGCTATAAGTTACCCCCCCCCCTCAGCGTCAGCGAGAAATTGACAATCGAGTAGGATGTGGTAGGTCACAAACAATAGGATAGAAGCCCATCCAACACCAGACAGCAGCAACAGTGCAAAGAAGATCAAACTGAAATTGATAAAGTATCCGATCCAGCGCACCCAGAATACCTGTCTAGTTCGGCCCGGTAATCCATCAAGTCTGAATTGGACGGGAACGGCGTGTCCGCCCAGATTGCTTCAAAAGAAATATTATCATTAGCACGTATAGGTAACGCACTTTGCCAGGTGAAAACCTACCTAGCCATAGCATAGTAGTAAATCGTAGCGACCAGCAATATGGCGATCGAAAAGTAATGAAACACACGGCGTCGAGGACTCGTCGCGTACGTCCAAATGATCACGCCCAAAAGGATGAAGGCGTGAAAAGCCGTTACGGACCACAACCAATCCGAGCCTTAGCCACACACCGCCTTCAAGTCAGCCTCCGGGGCCCAACCAAATAACGACCTCACAGCCTTAAATTAAAAGAGAAGTACCCCACCATGAGTCGTGATGTTATTATCCGCGATCTTCGGATTGTCACGGAAAACCTCGTTCGCCCGCGCTCGCAGAACCCCCGAAAGCTCCTCCATTGACAAATCCATCGTGCAGCGGCAGCAATAGATCGAGTAAGGATGGGTATATATCCTTCACAAATTATCAAAGAAGGGGTAGGAAAAAAAGGGTGCGATGGAAGACGGGGGGCTCTCGCGGGATAGGGAGGGCGTATATATGTATACTGCGGCATCAGGAAAGCCCCGCCAGGCATGCCGTCACTCCGGCCTCAATGGGTATGTCATTCGGCGTCATTGAGGACATCTAATACCCACAGAGCGAAAGAGAATACTGTATGATACAGTATTGGGGATGGTTTTGGAATATCCAATGCTCCGAGGGGGTGTAGGTGGATGGTGGTGGAAAGATGTGTGGCCAATTGCGGGACCCGGTCGAGTGGGCGGAGGTGCTGGTGGGGTGGGACGGCGAGTGATAAAGTCGTTATGTTAGTTTGGAACATAGCCGATAGCTCACGGCCAACCTGTCAATTACTCGAATTTTTCTGGTGCAACGGGGGCCGTATGGTGAATCATACAGTGAAGAGCTCAGCACCGCACCAGAGTTCTCGCGGGACACGATCGGCATCATTGCTGAGATAACGACTATTAAGGTTAGAACTCCAGCCAATCACGCATGCTAATGCGCCATACCCGTACCAACCCTGGGAATCATTAGCTCCTCGCGAGTCTTGATCGCGCGCCCGCATGTTCAGGCCTTCAATAACTGTACGAGTATCATATGATACCCCACCCCAACATTGAGCGGCCAGCACAACCGCAGACATTCTCACTCGCCCCGAATACACTCCCGCCGACACTCGAACCAAGCATTAAGCTAACCAGCAAAACCCTTCCTCACACGCGCCCAACCGCCCTTGATAGGTAGCCACGTCGGAGTTCGGCAGGCGAACCCCACGAACGCCAAGAACAGTGCCAATCCAACAATCCATGGCCAGCAGAGCGGATATCGGCGCATCGCAATCGGCTATCGTGAATAAAATATCCGAAAGGCTTTCATTCCTTGGGGAGATGGACTCTCTCCCTCCCTCCCTTTTTCAATTATGTTGCCGGTATCGAATAGCAACAGGTCTCGGCGGTCTAGATAGCGACCAATCGATCGATTGACTAGCTTTCTGGAAGAGGATCCGTTGGTGCCATTGCCTCACGTCATTGTGATTGCTGGCTAGCGGCTACCGGTAGTGGCAGGCATCGCGGGAGAGGGTGGAAGACTACCGGTATGTCTGGCCGTTCGGAATCATGCGGGGGGATGGAGTCTTCTTGGAGGGCGGGAGGCTTGGGTAAGTTAAGACAGTACGGTAGGTCAAGTTACTCGTATGATGCTTGATGATTATGCTTGTGGGGTAAAGTCGAGGTGGTTGGTACCGTATGAACTTGAATAAGAGCAACACCGCTCGGGACGTCTAGGTTTCCCCTCTTGGTAACGCGTGGTTTTATTTTGCTGGTATTTTCTCCCGTCCCTACCAAAATAGGCAAGTCAGACGTCCCGAGATGTGTTGCTCTTATTCAAGTTAATACGGTAGACTAGAGCCGAACCGATCACCTTCTTCCTGAAGAAGTGTGGTCAGCCGGGTTCTAGCTCTTGGCAATTACCAGTAAATTAGTTATCATCCAAGTACTATGATTACTCGAGTAGATTTACTCGTACTCTACAAGCTGTGAAGATAACCAGACTATTATTATACCTTGAGAGTGTCTTTTGTGGCAATTATGATGGATCAGCGCAATTATTGTGCATTCGCTCCATCCATCTGCCACCGCATCCATCCCTCGCCTGAATTTCGCTGACATAGGGGGTCACACGTCTCCCTCTTGCCGTATACGTAGTAGGGGAAGGTGGAACAAGGGATGCTGGGCAAAAACAGAAGGGGTTTAAGCCGTACCTGCTTGTGCTGTACTGGGTCAAATTCTTAGAAATATAAAAGTTCATTCATGCCAAGGGATATGAGACCATCACATCAGTTCCCCAAGTGTCAGGGCATCCGATATCATCCCTCAGAGCCCCCCCGCATGCGGAGGACCCATTGCAGCAAACAAGCATATCCAGTCCGGCATGAACAATTCTGGATATATAATGTCACGGTGTAAATATCTTTGAAAAAACTGCAGTACGATTATTTTTCAGGATTTCTCGAGACTCTCTGGCCCCCGGGCTAGGCACTGTACTCGCGTCGATTTTTATGCATTGTCTTTAGATGATACGCTTATCCGTCTTTGCAAATCCCCCGCTGAAAAAAAAGTGTAATAAAATGGGGGGAGTTCGCGAAACCTGAGCCGTCAGGGCTGCCACCGGCTCTTCCAGCCTAGGAGTAAATGCAGGAAGGGAAGGCTTTGACGTATTTCAATAAGTTGGTGGGACTGGATAATAACGGTATAGGACCCCCCGATAATACATTTTTCCCGTTAGTGAGCTTTTTAAAGCGGTGAGGGAAATGAGATATCCCCAGAGTTCTGGCACCGTACTGCTCGAATGCCTTTGTACTGTGTTCTAAGCATGCGAGGGTCCTCCAGTGGTCAAATTGTTCCGAATCCCTTCGCGAAAGCCCTGGGTGTTTATTCGCTCCTCTGAAGATGTCAATTAACCTATACCCGCCTACCGTTCTGCAGCTGCAGATGCCAGCCACGGATCTTGTGGGCTATGGCATGGGGATGGTCATGCTGGCCTATCCTTGTGGAACGCCAGAGCCCTACCCCCTCTCTCCGCTATCTCACGAGAACCAAGCCGAACACCACAATAGAACCCCCCCACCTCACTGCACCCCCCGGTCACCAAAGGAGAAAATCTTTTGAATATGATACCATGCTCTTGGTGGCAAACCCTTTCGGGGGGGGTACCATCGGCCGCCATCGAAAAGGTGAAACCGACGCAACGAACAACAAAATATTTACACATCTCAACCTGTATTTCTATCGCTCAAAAACGCAAATAAATTGAAAAAAATCCTGGAAAAAATAAAGAAATAGTCACAGCCCTCTAGTATTTTTAGGGGGTTTCTCTGCAGTTCTCTGGGGTGGCGCTGGACGGTACTGGAGGTGTTTAGCAATTTTCTTAAGTTCTTGGCGGGGTGTGAACCAGCCAAAAAATACTACTCGAGTACTTTCGAGCAGGGGTCGGACAACACATAGACAGGCTATCTGACTATAGAAAATTCTAAAAATATAAAAACTGACCTTGTTTATTTTTTATTTCTCTACTTTATTTTTCAAACTTTTTGCTACAGTTTTATGATAGGCCAAAGAGAAGGTAATTGCGTGCAAAGGTTTCACTTTTTTAATACTATATTCCCCGATCAATAGTATCCGAAAGGTTTTAGTCTACTACCAAGAGCATGGTATCCAAAAGGTTTACCCGTCACCAAAGGCATCTTAGTTAATACCGTACGTGATGTGGTGAAAATTTATTTTTCCGGAAAAGATCGAACTAAGAGAGCAAGAGGTGCGTGCGCCCTTCAGACCTGCTAAAAAACACGAAAAAACCGAAGAAAACCAAGAAAGTACAGTCGCACCTCGCTATCCCGGATCCCGCTGAACCGGATACCGTGCTGAACCGGACAAAATCTGTGGCAGCTCTGGACTGTCATAGAATTCACCCCGTTGAACCGGAAAGAGGCAGGATTCGGATTCGTATGATATTTGAGAAATGGCACCCCTGGTCCCCATAGAAAGTTGATCTGTTGAACCAGATCCCAAGATAACTGTTCAACAAACTAAGCCAAATGAGGAAAGAAGGCGGGGTTAGAAAGATAGTTAGAAGTGAAGAGAAAAAAGGAAGAAGACTTCGGGAGGGTAGGGAAATTCCAATACATATACCTAGACACTATAGATAGAGAATTCATTTTCGAAGTAGAAAGTTGTCTGCGCTCCTCAAGCCAGTTTGATAATGCCTACAACAAAGTCAACAAAGAAGACCGGATTAACCGCCTTACAAAAGTACGAACTATGCTGCCTTCGAGTACGACATCCCCAAATGAAGCTGGCTGACTTTGCCCTTCTTAATGAGTGCCCTCAACGTCCAGATGGTCAACCTTTAGCCATTTCTAGCATCTCCGATCATCTTAAAGGATGGAAGGAGAAAATTAAAAAGGAGCCTCCAGCTGGTAAACTGAATTCTATAATAGATTTATATCAAATAACTAGAATACTAATTAAAGTATAAAATAATATTAGGAACAACAGGAAATAAACAGAAAGAGAGAGCGAGCAGTTATCCTTTTTTGGAACACTTTCTGGCTCTTTGGATCGACACAGCCGAGTACACCAAAGTTCAGGTTACAGACAACATAATTAGGGCTCAAGCAAGAATTATTCAGGAAGAGCTAGTGAGAGCTAATGTCGATGAGCCATATGATGGGTTCGAGATGTCAAACGGTTGGCTTCAACGATTCAAAAATTGGCACAATATCGGTAGACTACGAACACATGGGCAATCCGGCGATGTTGATCAATCAGCTCTACCAGCCCAGCGCCAGCATCTCAAACAAAAACTAGCCACATTTTCACCTGAGGACCACTACAATTACGATGAAAGTGGTCTTGTTTTTAACAAGCAGCCACAGTCCTCAAATGTCCGACTAGATAAAGGTAAACAGTTAAGAGGAGGAAAGGAGGATAAGATTAGAATAACTACTTTTCATATAGTTAATGAGACAGGAACGGATAAACGCAAGATTTGGGTTATTGGACAAGCAGTAAAACCCATGCCTTTTCGTCAAAATCGCATCAATCCAGCTAACTTGCCGGTCATTTATCGTCATAACAAAAAGGCCTGGCTATTAACCGGACTCTGGTACAAATTTCTAAGGAAATTGAACGATGAAATACGAATTGCTCGGCGGCATATAGCACTTGTGATAGACAACTGCCCTACTTATCCACAACCTACTTCACCGCCGATTGACTACAAAGGACCTCCGCCTCCTATCCTCAGTCATGTTACTTTAGTTTACCTACCGCCCAACACCACATCCTTTTTGCAGCCGTTGGATGCTGGAATTATTGCCTCTTTCAAGGCAGCCTATCGACGACGTTATGCTCAATTCATGGTTGAGCATTTTAATTCCTATGGAAAAGCACCCTTGAAGATTGATATTTTACAGGCAATCTACCTAATTGCAGATTCTTGGGATGCTGTCACAGAGGACACGATTGTTCACTGCTGGAAAAAAGCGGTGATCACTGAGTTCTCCGAAGGCAGCTCTGTGCTTTCTAGTCAAATTAATTGCGATACACCATCCCCGATCGAACACTTCATTAGTCTTGAACAGCACGAATTCCAACAAGCTCTGAGTCAATTAAGAGAGCAAGGAGTTGACCAGATTGAGTGCCTTGAAGATTTCCTCAATGATGAGGAGAGATTGGATTCACCTTTGGATAGTTTTTTTCCAGATGTCTGTGCTATTGTCCATGATGGTGTTGCTGAAGGGATCTTATTGCGCACGTCGGAGAGCTTAGATCGGAGTGAGCCAGAAAGCGACGGTGATGATATTTCCACACTTCCAGTAATTGGAATAGAGACCGCCGCGCATTACAGCTTTGAGCTTCAACGCCTTCTTCAAACTCTTCCGGTTACTCACCTACCCCTTCTTGGCTGTAATAGTCTCTCTGTGGAAGAACTGATAACATCCACCTACAAGCTTCATTCTGCCCTTCTTCGGTATTCTCTTCTTTATCCTATATCTCTTCAGATCTGATTTCTAATAAATCACAGTTACCGGAATACTCGGCAAACTCAGCAGACAACAATTCACCAATTCTTTCGTCCCACTGTTCCAGCCTCCCACCAACCCCACTCCCATGATATCAGATCTCAGGAGCTAGGACCACAGGGACAAGGGAGAGTGCCTGCAGTCACGGTAATGGGAGGAGAGGAGGAACCAATTCTCTATATTGATACAAGCAGTGAGGAAGAGGAGGATGAAGAACATGCTACCTGTAGACCTACAAAGTAGAAGACAGGTGGAGTCAATTCTGCATATGAATATTTATTGAATTAAGCCTTCTCAAGAGAATGCGAATAAAAGATCTTAACTTTTTCTTGGAAATTTCTATTTTATTCATGATACCCCGTTGTTCCGGACACCCCGTTGTCCCGTATGAAATCCGTGAAATTTGGCCATCCGGGATAGCGAGGTGAGACTGTACTCGTATCGGTAAATTACTAGATCCCACCAGCAGGGGCAGCCCCAACCCCATAGTACATAGTCAAATCGTTTGGGATTTACAACTGTGTTCCGGGTTTTCTCT